CATGAGTTACAAAATGGCTTGGTTTGTTAATCTTTTAATTTGTGTAGCCTGCACTATATAATTCTTGTGTTATACTTCCCATCCAAAAGTTTCTTGTAAGCAGCTTGTCTTTTTTTTTCTTTAACAAATGGACAAATTTGTATTGTCCCATAACATTATCATGTCATTCATGCCAGTGTAAAAGGCAATAGCATGAAGGTCAAAGCTTGAAATATCCTGGAATATGAAGTACCATACGAGTTGATCCTCGAGTGACAACCACATTAGTACAGTAGATAGCCTCCATATTAGACATAAAAGGAAGACTTGATCACCACGTTAGAAATAGAAGAGTGAAAGGGAATTGGGAGTGGAATGGTAGGCAGTCAGTATGGGGGAAGGGAGACATTTGGAGTACAGTACAGTACTGTCCATTCAGTAGAGCCAGGCTGTCACCTGATCGGATGACAGGCAAAGTTATCAGTCACTAGCACTGATTTTATAGTTTTCTTCGAGGTGACATCAACTGCATAATATCTTTTTGATCATGAAATTACATTAACTCCAACCAGTTACTGCTGGCTAATAATTCTTATTAATAAAGGAAAGAGGACAAATCAGAAGAGCATGTTAAGATAGGGCTACCTGAATAGGTTTCAGTTGTGGTTACTCCATCAGAGGGGCATTCATGGGGATAAAAACAGATTCTACAGTAAATTGTTAATTCCTCTTTTAGGACTGCCTCCTCTTCCATTTTGCTTAGTTATGCACAGTTGTTGTTTTATGGTTACAAAGGAAACATATCATTCCTTAATTTCTTATTTTGACTGTATCAGAATTTAGAATTTCTAAAATATAGTTACAGGTTGTAAGTACAGTATGTATAACAGTTTATACAGTACTATACTTAGTGTATAAAATATATATTAATGCAGGCCATATGTATTATTGTTAAATATGTACTTTTGTATTCATAGTAAACCTTTTACCATAATATATAATTATCTTCTCCTTTCAATAGTGCATTTGTCATGTTGAATTATATGGTATATCAGGATTTTATCGGTACTACCTTGTTGACTGCGTGTTCCTCCCGTTACTATACTGTATACAGTATCTCTCCTTCCCATTACAGTATTACGCTGAGATGTATCAGTAAGGTGGTTGGGCTCACTGGCTCAAGCAAAGAATATTCACTATACAATACTATATTGAATATAAATTCAGTGGATTTTGTACTACATGGGAACCTGGTCCAAGATAGGGATTTTAATCTAGCCAGTGACCTGTACAATGAATTTGGCATCTAGATAATGCAGAATTCCTCCAAGACTGATAATTTTAAATTAATATTACTAAAAAATTCAAACAGTGCTTTTTCCATGGCATTTCTGCATTAAATTATGCACAAATGTATGTCCTATCATGTGCACAAATAAAGGGTGAATGCTGTGGATCTTGTTATCCATTAAAATCTGTACAATAAAGCTTTGTCACATGCCATCCCTAAGGTGTGGCATTGTTTACAATTTCCCATTTAGAATCCTTTCATTAGAAAGTATTTACACCACAGTATTGTATGTCGAACATAAAAAATATTAAATGTATAAAGATATTGTACACAATGTGATAAATCAATGATATAATCTTTAGAGCAGGACAGCACGATCGAACCAATGTTGTGGATAACCACAGATGTGCACCTTAACCCATGGACTAGGATGTGCAAAAAGTTACACGACCTGGGGCCGGATTCAGGAAGGTACTTACGAAGGTTTTTCCTCTTAGCTAAGAGCGTTTTCCGTCTTAGCGCCTTCGTGGCGGCTACGTCCGTATTCATTTAACTACCCTAAGTGGAAAAACCTTCGTAAGTTCATTCCTGGATTTAAGTGTGGTTTCGACCACTCGTAGCTTTACGTAAACTGGATATAAGTAATTTTTTCTCTACTACATAACACTGGGATCGATTTATGATATTGGAACATGACCAAAATATTATAGCTGGTGAATCTAGTGAAGAGGAATCCTTCGTGTTAGTTATATATGCATTCTCTGCTTGAAACTTGAAGTAAATATGTGTTTGATGATAGTAGAATTAGTTTTATAATAGCAAGATATTATACCAGTAGTTATTAAGTAAATAAACACTGGTGAACATGAAATATGAGAGAAGGTGATGAGCCCTGCCTGATGGGATCATTTACTATCACCAAATGCGCCTGTTCACCTAGTAGTAAGGGTGTACCTTAGCTATACATACCCATTTCTAATTTATTTAGTTTGGTTTTATTTTGAAATTAAATCTGGGTGAGACATAAAATAAAAATATGCTGCACAAATGATGTTAGGTAAGGAAAAGAATAAAAATGTCAAAAACTTTATTCATTGAATACTTAAAGCTATAATTATGACTATATAGATTATTAAAAAAGAGAGAGGGAAGTAGGGGTCTAAGACCTCTTCCTGTTATACAATTTGGGTGTGGAACAAGTAATTATCAAAAGAAGGCACCATGCCGGGAAGGCTCTGTAGCAGTAAGGCAGTGAGGTGAGGCAGCTACTTATTTGAGACATGCTTATTTTATTTACCTTATAAGCTGAGGCAACTTATTTTATTTGAGGAATACTCAGCTGATTCCTCTACATTTAGCATGGAACAAATTTGTGTCCAAGACCTCTTCCTGTTACTCAATTTGGTTGTGTGTAACCAAACTAGAAGTGCTCTACAAATCAAGGGACCCAGAATGTGGAATGACCTCCCGAATCATGTCAAAGGCTGTACCTCTCTCAACCAGTTTAAGAGTTAAACCAAGTACTGCCAAATTAACTCCATGTAACCTAACTTGCCTCCTAAATGTCAACCCATGTCTTGCTATTTTTTAAACAACGCTGTTCACCAACATGTGCAATTGCTGATTTATGCTATGTTAACCCCCTTTTTGTATTTTTTATTCCTTCTTTCAACACAATTTATACCTAATCCCGATTACTATTAAGTTTTAGTCTGTGTTTTTTTCCCCCACACCTTGCCCGAAATGCTATGAGTATTAGTGGCTTTAGGTATTGTATGTACTAGCTCTGCCTATAAATCCATCATTATATTTGTAAATCAACTGTATGTACTTTTCCTGAATAAAATGTATTTATTATTTATTTTTTAATCAGTAAGTATTAAAAGAAGGCACCAAGCTGGGAAGGCTATGTAGCACCATTGTGTGTAACAATAAACCAAATTTTTTTTTAACAAACAATGCACCTGTATGGGAAAACAAATCCTGTCAGCTGTAAAAATATTGATGCAGTTATTTAAATGAAAAATATAATGAAAGAAATATTACTGGTTTATTTTTATCCTATCTTTTTGTACTGTACAGTATATCCAAGGAAGTGAAAAATTGAGACATAATGCACAATTTAATGAATGATTAGCAGTTCAAAAGAAATATGACTTGTATTACATATCAACATGAGATCTTAATGATCCATGGTCAACATGATTTAATAAGGATAATACAGTACTGTATTTGTAATACAAACTATAATTTAAAATCTTTATTACTGATTTTTTTTATTAAGAAGATTAGGTATACACAGCAATGTGCTGCTACCCTAGTCTATATGGAATATTACAGTGTAGATAAAAAACTAGCTATAAATTTATCTAATACTCCCATCTCACAGGATGGTTAGACATACTGTACATGGAATCAATTTAGAAAATACCAGCCTCAATACAAAAAACAAATCAACTCTTGTATTGAGGTGAAATCAACTCACCTTCTGTATATTACACCAAATATATATATAGTATCTTAGTGTCTGTGTTTATTGTCACCATACTTTACGTAACAATAGAACCGTTACAGATTGTTGCCGCTATTCTGCTTTGGTTGTCGCCGCTGGAGGCCGCTCTTCTTTGATTGTTGCCGCTATTCTGCTTTGATTGTCGCCGCTGGAGGCCGCTCTTCTTTGATTGTTGCCGCTATTCTGCTTTGGTTGTCGCCGCTGGAGGCCGCTCTTCTTTGATTGTTGCCGCTATTCTGCTTTGATTGTCGCCGCTGGAGGCCGCTCTTCTTTGATTGTTGCCGCTATTCTGCTTTGGTTGTCGCCGCTGGAGGCCGCTCTTCTTTGATTGTTGCCGCTATTCTGCTTTGATTGTTGCCGCCAGCGGCCACTTTTCTTTGATTGTCGCCTCCAGAGGCTGCTAGTTTATTGTGCACCCCATACTCATCCTTTGAGTGTTAGCGCAAACAAGATTACAGAAGACACAAAAGGTCTTTATCAGACTTCAAGGGAGCATATTACATTAACAATTACATCTATCCAGCACTTTTGTCATCCCTAATTTCCTGAAATATTGCGGGTTTTACCACATTTACCATATCCACCCATATGAGCCACAGAGACATTAGAAAGAACCTTTTCAGTATCAGAGTAGTTAGTAAATGGAATGCATTAGGAAGTGATGTGGTGGAGGCTGACTCCATACACAAATATGCAGATATGATGGAGCCCAGTAGGCTCAGGAATATATACATCAGTTGACTGGCGGTTGAGAGGCGGGACCAAAGAGCCAAAGCTCAACCCCCGCAAGCACAACTAGGTGAGTATATTCATTTATTATGCACCATTGGAATGCCCATAAAATATGGCATCGGCTTGTTAATACAAATAAAAATATCGTTATCATACATGTGAACCATGTGAACTTGCCTTAAAAAAATTATTTAATCAAATCTATTGCACTGTTTATGAATATTGAAATATAGGCGTATAAATTAAATAAATTTAACTTCATTACGAATTGCTTTTTGTTGTTTTTGGTCTTTTACTCGATGCCACATCAAATTTATCCATCTAATCTTTCAAGCTCTATTTTAATATGAGACCCCCACAATAAAAAATTATTTATTAATAATTGAAATGTTGTAAGTAAGTGAAAATATAACAAAAACAAATGTATTAGGGAAATAAAAAGAAAGCAGATATTGATATATTTGGCAACACTGTAGTAGCCTGGCAGCCAATGAGGTGGTCGGACGAGGCGCCCAAGATAGTTTTGAATGTTGTCAACACAGTCGTGAGCGATGGTGTGTGTTATCTGGGCTCTCTCTAATATTCCTGGACCTTCCTCATCTAGTCCAACATGAGCAACAAGCAGTGTATCACAGGGCCGTACCGTGCCACCAAACTGGTGAGTTAGCGCTTAGCGTGACCAGGGACAAGGATTCAGGGATGGCGTGCGGTAAAATCTTGCACAGGCTTTGGGACGAATCCCGATTTTTTAATTGTAAAATTCGTATGCATCATTTGGTTAGGTTCCGATTTTTTAATTGTAAAATTCGTATGCATCATTTGGTTTGGTTTGGGTTAGGATTTAAAGGTACGTTGAGAAACCATCATTGGTACAATACGACTCGTATTCTCGAGATTGTAGCTCGTGAATATACAGGTAAGGTTTCTCGGTTAACGTGGATAGGAATCGTGCAATAATAATAATAAAGGTGAAAATTTACATTAGTTACCATTAGGTTATATTATGTTATATTTATACTTTCAGAGGTCCATAGGGAGTGACTGATCTTTACCAGAATGCCAATCACCCAGTTGCTAAATTCGTGGGTTATTTACTCCAAAGTGAACTGGGGGCATCATATTTAAGGACACATTGGTCTTGCATAGGAATTGTTCCTTGGACGTTTTGGTTTATGAACTGACTGTGCTCAACACACTACTGGTGACTAGCTTTATTCCTAGTGCTAGGAAATATCACTACTTTGTATGATTAAGTCTGACCTGTATTGTGTGTTAATTTGCTATCCTCCCCTTTCCTCTTCCAAAAACTAAACTCAAAAGATAAGTTGAATATTTCTTAAATCGGTAATATAAGGTAGTGATTGTAAAATTACTTTATTTTTAAGGGGAGTGAAAGTTTACAGTGTGCTGTAATTTGATTACAGTATTGTGTATAATTGCCTCCAATTTATCACTAGATTATCTAAAATGTTAAGACCACAGTTAGTAGAAAATTTTGGTGTGAAAATGAATGGGTGCACAACTAGGTCCACATATTTTAGTATGGAAATTCACACATCTCTAACACTTGATAATTACTTACTGCAATATTTGATATAATTTTCCTGTATTATTAGAGCAATGAATTTATGTATAGTATACATTAACATAGACTACTGCCCATCATAAACATATGCCACACTGTCAATATTTTAATAAAATATAAATGTTCTTGTATTTTGAGGTGTGCTTAGGTTCTTTATACAGGATATCCAGTACCTTGACAGGAATTGAAAACACATTTAATTTATTATATGGAATGTGCATTATTTTACATATGCTGTATACAAATTTTAGCCCTAATTTTGGATATGTTTTCAGTGGAATGATGCAGTACGGTCCTTCTACAATGGAATGCCAGTCTCACGACATTGGAAGGGTTTACGGCAATATGACAGGTGTTTTACAGCTACAGAAGCCATTGACTGGTTGCTCAATCACCTACAGAGTAACCCAAACTTTGGTGACAGTGTTTCAAGAGACCAGACTGCTAAACTTCTTAGGTACAGTATATAGGAAAAACTGTCTTAAGATCAAATATTTATACTATATTCTTGATCTATATCATAAGGTCACATTTAAACTGTGTGTCTACAGTATTTGACCAGACCACACTAGAAGATGAAGGGACGACGACGTTTCGGTCCATCCTGGACCATTTTCAAGTTGATTTGTCCCTTCACCTTCTAGTGTGTGGTCTGGTCAAATTACTTAAGCCACGTTATTGTGACTAATTGCCTGCATGTGTATCTATTTGTTGAACTACTTGTGGAAATAAGGATGCATTGTTGATGTAAAATTGTAGAGCTATTAAAGCCTATACAAAAATTTTGCTTGATTTTCTTAAGAGATAATGCTTGTTTGGTACTTTTATTTAAATGTATACAATACATAGTAGTTACAATATATATAACAAAATTCTTACATCCTATTGCCAGGAGTATTTCTAAATCTTTTATCAGCATGCAAGTAAAGTGCCTGTTTAATTAAATTTGTAAATTGACAATGCAAGTTTATGAAGATGCCTTAGCAGATACGTTTTGATTGTGAGGTTAATGTCCTGGCTAATCAGGCCAATACCTCGCTATACAAACCACCAGCACTGCCAATCACACTACCACCACCCACCCTGGACTTCACTCCCTACCAACCATGTGCTGGTTCATCACAACATCTGCTCTGTTCTTGTTTCCCTGTGGTTGTGTGTGTGTGTGCATTTGTTTTAAATATACTGTACTGTACTATATTTAGCTCCTACAGTACATAGGAAAGGGGGTGGCATTTTGTATTTACAAATATTCATATAATTTGTATAGTACAGTACTGTATAGCAGTTCATTATTTGCCTGTCATTTTGAGGTTGTAAATATCTCTTATGGTTTCATGTAAATCCCAGATGATCAGGCTAGGAGCTGTGATTTGGCATTTATCCCCTTTCATCATTTTCAGAAAATTCTTAAAAGCTGGCCTGATTGAAGATGTGCGTGGAAATACAACACGACCCGATGACTTCAAGGATAGTAGAGAACTCTACAAGTAAGTTGCATTGAGCCAGTACTGTAACTACCATATATAATTTGTTAAGGATTGTATTACATCCAGCCATAATTACATCCTGGATGGATATAATATTCATAGTAGTATGGAGGACAGTTGAAATATTTTTTATTGGCTATCTGTGCTGCAAAAATGTTAGGTCATTAAAGATTATTCCTAATGCTTTTGCTTAATGAGATTACAAATATGTCGAAACTTTGCCAACACTGTTAATTAAATTGTCCATTGTCCTTTGCATTGTAGATTCAAGACCAGGCATTTCCTTCTTCACAACTGAAATAATTTAATACCACGTACATTAACTCTTGATACAATATGTGGCAGTCATGACATTTAATAAAGTTTCAAAGATTCTCCTTATCTGGATAACGGCAATAAATTTATACAGTATTGTGCTGGTTGCTAATGTTTAAATTATAGATTTAATTTAAGAATAGCAATAATATCTAGTAATATCACTACAGAAATAATGTCCAGTGTTAGAGGTATTGCTAAAGTGTATACAACACAGCCACCCAGAGCCAAGACACTTCAAAATCTTCTCATTCCCCAATCCAAACTTTGTCCCTCTCAAACATAGCAGGCTAGTTAGTATGGCACTGAAGGTGCTAATTAGAATTTGTTTATGGTTATCTGCTCTTCAGTGCAACTTAAAATGTAAAAACAAAGTTTTATTAGTTATAATACCATAGGATCTATATTTAAATTTGTTTAATGTTCTAATTGCAATTTTTTTTTTTCTGTATAGGTTTAGCAATAGATCACCTCTGAAAGCATTACGCACGCCTCGCACACCTGGTCGACCAGTATTAGGAACTTTGCAAAACAATGCCTCCAATCATATGGAAAACCAAGATGGAGCATCTCCATTTTTAAGAAAAAGGTTTCAGGGATCAATAAGAAAGGTTTGTAAACTTTTGCCTTGATAGAAGGGGATAATTTTTTAGGGTTCAAACTGGTAGAGGATAGTGGGGTGGGTTTTTACTGTTGGGGAAACAGTTAACACAATTATTGAACTGGGAACGTGGAGGCAAAATTGTGGGGGTTGGGGAAACCAAGTATCTTTATTTAGTAATGTACTGTATTCTCAAGGCAATAGTGGGGGGGAGGAAAAGATGAACATATATTACACAAATAGGAGTATTCAAAGTAACATAGATGACTTGAGTGCTCTTTTGGGCACAGAAACCACAAATGTTGATGAATGTAGAAATAGGAGTATCAGAATTAAAAATTGAAGGCCTAAGGGATATAAAATTTTAAGTACATTGATAGGAAGATTAAATAAGGAAAGTAGCCATTAGTTAAAATAATAAATGTTTAAAATGTAATAATATCTGATTCCCACAAAAACTGTTTGAATTGAAATCAATGATTTCAATTCAGTTTCATAAGTCATACTGTATACTGTAATGTATAGGCCACCAAACCTTGATAGAATTGAAGGAAGAAATATAAAATTGAAATATTTGAAGCATCTAGATCTAACATTATTTGCATTATTGGTGACCTTAAATTGAGAAGAATAAATTTAACGAATAAAATAGGAAGGATAAATTTAACGAATAAAGAATAAATATAAGGAATAAAATAATGAATAAAAGAATAAATTTAACAAATAAAATAACGAATAAAATAGGAAGTGCTGAGGGAGAAGATTTTCTAGGATTAGTTGGTTTGCTTTCTTAAACAACATATGGAGCCAACATTGGAAAATATTTTGGACCTGGAACTGACACAGGTAGATTACTTAATATCAGAATGAGTGAATTGGGAAATTAGATTTAACAGAAAGAGAAAAATGGTTTGTGGTAAATGGTATGAAAGTATGTATAAAGAAATGTAATATACTTGGTGCTACCATGTGGCCATCCACCGAGAGGTGCTCTAGAGTGAATGAGAGATCAAAGATAGTAAAAGGTTAAAATAGAAAATTTGGTAGTAATATTTTATTGTGTATTAGACACTAATGTAAAGTGCTTTACCCTTGAATTATAGTACTTAAAATTTCCATTTCAGTCGACCAAAGGAACTGAAAATCTGGATGACAGACCGTGCAATGGTTCAATCCGTACTAAAAATGGACCAAAAAGAGCAGGGTCAATTCATTCTGGAGAAAACGCCGTCAATGAGATAAAAGACCGAGGAGGTATGCAAGAGTGCCATCTAGTAGCCAAGCAGCTGTCCAAGGCTGAAACCAATGACGTATGGAAACACGTCCTGTTTGGCAAGTAAGTTAGGGCTAGGATTCATTGCATGACAAATGGCAGCTTAAGTACAATATATGCATTCACATGCATATTCTGTAGTTCTTGTGGATTTTGTAAAAAATAAATAGTTATCAAACTAATAATTTTTCATTTAAATCCTCATTAGATTAATTAAAATATTAATAGCTGTGGTCTAACAGCGGGGTTAATTATAGTTCTTTGTAAAGTAGACTTCATCTGCCATTCCTTTTAATATTTATTATGTTCTAAAATTTGCAGCATGTAATTTTTCACATTTTTTGTAATTGATTTATTGTGGATTTTGTAAAAAATAAATAGTTATCAAACTAATAATTTTTCATTTAAATCCTCATTAGATTAATTAAAATATTAATAGCATTGCCAAGTTGATCTGTGGTCTAACAGATGGGTTAATTATAGTTCTTTGTAAAGTAGACTTCATCTGCCATTCCTTTTAATATTTATTATGTTCTAAAATTTGCAGCATGTAATTTTTCTTTTTTGTAACTGATTTATTGCAGTTCCTTTTTAATTACTTTATTTGGTAACAATTAAATTCTGTACTAACACTTCTTAAGAAGTTCAGAAAATATCCTTAGCACAATAAGGTCACATTGACATGTCATTACTAACTGAAATGTTCAGATAAAACTTAGAAATGCAATTGGCTTGTTAAAGCTTTTAAAAAACATTAATACATAAAATGTGTACTGCTTGTACATAGTGGAGTTTAATGTAAACAGGAGGGATGTTCCATAAGTCACAGCAGTAATCACAGTTGTTGGTATATTTCTTATAATGAATCTCTTCCCATGTACAGTACATTGTTTCCAACCTAGCAGTAAGGTGTCAACTGTAAACTTTCCTCTGCACCTTTCCATACATTTCACCATTTGCTCATTACTAACATCTAGCAGTGTCATCCTTCCACCTCTTGGCTTGGCATTTTATCTTCCTTTCATACATGCTCTTAATATATCTGCCCGCCTTTCATACCCATGGCAGGCATTTGGTTCACTCTTCTCACTTTAAATCCAGTATTAAAAGGCTGTTGTATGGCTGATAATGCACTGCATTAATGTAGTATAACATAAGCATTTTTGTTACTTTTACTGTTACATAAGTTACTGTAGTACCAGTATTATCTTTCTTACTCCCCCTCTTACCCACTTTCACTGAATGGGTAGAGTCAGCCTAGAGAAAATAGGGAAGCAATATTTGTCAATGAAGCATGGCTGTGCTGTATAGCTACATGACAACATGCTTTTTGTCATTCACGTGCTAATATTTTAATAAATACTGTACATAATGCATTCTGGTGACACAAAAATTGCATTTACTGATACTGATGTACAATACTGTATTTGTATAAAATGTTAAGAGCCCACGCAAACCGCATATGCAATGGAATTTAAGATGGAATAGGTTAGTCCCTGTCATTGGAGTGAGCTTGCACACTAGTACAGTATACTCAACAAACATTACAAACATTTCAACAAAAAATTAAAAGGCAAAAGTATAGAATAAACACTGTAGATTAAATGGAAAGTTAAGGAAGAAAGAGACCTGGAGTGATAATGACTAGTGATCTACAGCCAAATGTTCAGTGAAAAGAGGCCGTGGAACAGCTAAATTAAATATTAGGCTTCATCAGGCAGTCTTGAGAAGTTAGATTTGGAAATAAGTCATTCTTGCTCTTTACAATTAATTAGGTCATATTTTGTAATATTGCCTACAGTTCTGGTCATTATATTGTCTTTGAGAGAAAATATTGGAGAATTGTATTGTTCAGCACTGATTAACAACGCTATAAAAACTTAGATATAAATTGAAATTGCTAAAAAGAACTTAATTTTTGTTTTCAAAGGCAAAAACACAAAAAACCAGGCAGTGTGATACAAGCATTAATGGTTATTAGTAGGGTGTATGAATCCTGACTTTTAAAAAGCTGCCGATGTTGTAGTTGTGAGCATGGTACTTGTCATTTGTTGTGATAGTGGTGCTTGTAGGCGGTGGTGTTGGTGTTGTGTAATGGGGACATGTGGGTATGCTAAGGTGACCAGGGTTAATACAATTTGTACAAACATAATGCGTGACATTGGCTATAAAATTAATCATCACTCCAATGAAGCAAAGTACTTTTTATTTTTAACAGAATAGTAAATATGAGGAATACTATGCCAAGGGATATAATTCAGTGATATTACATAAATACCTTTAACAACAATTGGCTTAGACAAATACAAATAATAAAATGCTTGGATTTTACCACCATAAGTTAAGAAACAAGCTGACAAATTTGGATCCATTAATCTTTGGCAGTTTAATTCTTTGGTAACTGCTAGTTCTCGGTACATTGTGAGGGTACATAGTGCCTTCAATCTGTAAGAAAATCTGTAGGAGCTGTGATGAGGATTTGAGACTGGGTATTCCCAGGCAATTTATGAAGGTGTATTTAGGTTGTTGTATTTATACATTTAAATTATCCTAGTTAATTACCTTATTATTTTAGGGTCGTCAAATTCATTTATTTTGCTGTTATATGTGGGTGGGATATGATGTTACCTGTCACGGCTGCTCTGCTGGACTTTTGCTTTGAGCCATCTGGTACTTAGGTATGGAAAAATTTAAGCTCCTAAATGAAATTCAGGGTACAAGATACACTTAGACCTACTCACAGTAGGAACACAGCATGTAAATGATCTGAGAATAATGTCTGGCAACCTAACATTTAGGAAAAAAATCCAAGCAAATATAGTGTCCCTGCTTATGCCTTCTCACTGGGTAAGGAGGCATAAATGTTTCAGCCACTTAACTGAAAACATGAAGGTGATGGGGCAATCAGAGGTGGATATAGCAAAGGCAACATGCAGGATAGTGAAGTAGCAGCCTAAGACCCCAGCTGACTTGGGCTGCCATTTGGTGGTGGTTGGACACATCGTTAGGGTATTTACCCACAGCAATGTTATGTTGCCTTGTTTACCTTGTGTAGCCTAGTTTCCTAAAAACTAGTATTTTTTTCCATTTATGGTTTCTGGTGGGTTTTTTCTCAGTTTTGAGTTTTCATGATTGCAATGGTCTCTTTTGCCAAACTTTAGTTCTGGCTTCAGATGGTAAGGATGGATCTCAAATGCGTAATGTAATTAGGCAAGGCTTGGCAGTATCGGAGCTTAGCTTGGGGAGCTAGTGGGGGGGGGAACACGTGCAGTTTAATTATATTCAACACCTTGTTTTTATAGAAATGGTGTAAGTTTGGCTCGTTAACCAAGACCCATGTAGTAATTCTGATAGTGTTTTTGATTGCTTACTATAGATAAGGTTACTTTGTACTATCGGCAAAGTCATTATCATCGAAATAAAATTTGGTGTTTCCCACAAGTATTTCGACATTTCTGGATGACATTAGCGAACAGAATAGTAGCACGGAAGTGGGTTGTAATACATGCATCCTTTGAGTTGTCAGGAACAGATTTGTGGGCAATATAGGTTAATTAAAATAAACTTTTGAAAACTGCATTATTCCGGGGATCAATGATGATGTATGTATGATGATAATCTCTCTCTTAGGGTTAAGATAATTTTTATTATATTCAGATATACTTTGTCTAAGCTTATCTGAAGTTGATTAAAAAATTCTTACTGGTTAATCTGGACATTTTACAAAAATGTTTTGTACATGAAGACATGTAAAGAAAACATTGTCTTGCTGTGAGAAGTTCAAGGTCAAAAGCATCCTTATGGGACAAAAATTAAACTCTGACTGTGGTACCACTGTGGTACTGGTCACTGCCCTTGATATCACATTAAATATAAAGATATCTCAGACATTAGAGCACTTTCCTTACATATCATGGCTATGAAGACTGACAAGAAAGGCTATGACCCTTACAGCATTTGAAGTCAAAGGTCTTGGTATCATTCATGAAAAGTGACACTGGAAGGCAATAAGCTACCTGATGCATGTTTCATAGAATGGAAATAACATGTCAAGTATCTAGTAATAATGTCAGATCAAATATTTAATGAGAATAACAATGTTGCATCTGCTTAGGAAAATTATAGGGTGCACCCAAAATGCACCTTATGGAAAAAAAAAGATGAGGTATACCATACATGGAAAATACTTGATCAGGTTCCAAATATAGTATATGTAATAAACTTATTGGACCTAAAGATATGTAAGTGTAGAATAGACCCAGAATAGAGTTGGAATTCCATATGCACAGAGAACAATGTAGGAATTTCAGAGACCCATGGCTCTTCAACCTCCTTCCACCATGTACGGTACAGTATAAAGAAATATGACTGGAACAAAAGTGGATGTTTTCAAAGAGGTAATTGGTTAGTTTCATGCAGGAAGTGCAGGACGAGCTGAGTTATAGTATTTGAAAGCTTGAAGGCCAATTTAAGCAACAGCCTGACAAAGTACATTATCAAACAACCTGGCTGCAGGTAGGGCTTAGAAATAACAAAAATTGAAACAAACATAAAAAACTGGGTACAGGAATTCACACGAGTAGAAAGTTTCCGAATTCTAAAATGTAATGTTCTACTGGGTCTAAAAGCAAATTAGAGATTTATAACTTTTTCTTGATATTAACCTGAATAGGAAATCGGATAAAAAGGTTATACCAAACGAGAAACAAAAAATTCAAATTGGTTAATTTTTAGAGTTTGCCGGTAAAAAAAATTGGCTAAATCAAATGTCAGGCTAACCTGAATGTGGAATGAGCCCCATATAATTCAGATATTCAGATAATCAAGTGTAGACAGTACTGTGTGTGTGTGTACTCGCCTAATTGTGGTTGTGTAGGTTGAGCTTCAGCTTTTTGGTCCTGCCTCTCGACCGTCAACCAACTGGTGTACACATGAGCCATTTGGGCTGTATCATATCTACATTTGAAACTGTGAATGGAGACTGCCTCCCCCATATCACTGCCTAGTGAATTCCATTTAACTACTGACCCTGAAAACGTTCTTTCTAATGTCTGTGTGTTTGTAACTACATACAAGTAATTGTAATTACCTAAGTGTGATTACAGAATGAGAGCTATGTTTATAGTGTTCATCTTTCCAGTATTCTTTGTCATGTAATGCTTTGAAACTACTGATGGTTGGAACATTTGGTAGATGTTCTAACCATCTACCACTGTTTGCAAAAGAAAACTGTAATATTTTTTGACACCTTTGTTTCCTTAACATGAATCTGTGTCCTCTTTGTTCTAGAGGTTGTCGGTTTCAGGAGTTCGTCAATACAGTATTGTTGATTGCCGTTACAGTAATTTACTATTTTGTATGTGGTGATCCTATTGCCTCATTGTCTTCCATCTTCTAACTTTTGCATATTTAACGCCTGTAGCCTTTCTTTGTAACTTGTTTTTCAGCGTTATATGACAATTCTGGGAAGATGGGGACACCATGAGCATAGCTCTCATTCTGTTACTATACTTAGGTAATTAGACATGCTCACACTTTGTGAAATATATGATGAAGGCACACATTCATTCCCAAACAGATGCAGGACCAGAAAACAGAATTTGTTCAATAGAAATGGTGAGAGGGCAAGAGAGGAAAAGACAAGAAAATGGGTTCAATATAGGAAGATGCCTAACTTAAACATACCAGCACTACAAGCAAGCAAGAAACAAATACACAGCAGTGACGAGAGAACCAGAAAGGAACTTTGAGGAAAGGATTAGTAGATAAATGTAAAACAGATCCAAGTCTTATCTATAAATTCATTAAAAGCAAGCTGCATGTTAAGGATGAAATCCAGAGATTGAGAATGGGATACAGGACTACTGAGAACGAAGAAAAAATGTGTAACATGCTAAATGCACACAGTTCCAAAATTTATAGACCCATATCATTAATAAGCGTGTTAATTTAACTATTAACTAGAAAACGTTAAAACCAAATGGGTTGAACACCTGGAGAGTAATGACATCATAACGGACAGACACTGCGGCTTTCGAACAGGAAGCACATGGCACATGAGTAACAAATCTTAGTTTTTATGATAGAGCCACAGAGATTTTACAGGAAAGAGGTGGTAGGGTTGACTTTCAATCTGGACCTAAAAAGGCTTTTGACAGAATCCCACACAAGAGGCTGTTCTGGAAACTGGAACATGCTGGAGAGGTGACAGGGAGAAAACCCTGTCACCTCTCCAGCAGATTCTTAGTAAGCCAAGAGAGCAGTGAGACACCTTTCGTGTGAGAAAGGTGTCTCGCCTTTCGAAAGGTCGAAATGTGTGAGACACGTTTCGCAGGCATACCTAGTGGTATGCCTGTGAAACGTAAGAGTGAGTGAGTGATATGCCAACAAGACTCCTATGTAATGGTAAGGTACTATGAGTAGTTTTCTGTATAAAATGTATTTTTTAGGTAATATTTTGGCAGGTGTGGAACGGATGAATTCAATTTACATTATTACTTATGGGAAAATACGTCAATTCATACTTTTCGGTATTCGTTCCATCTCTGGGAACGGATTAACTACGAAAACTGAGGTACTCCTGTGTTATAAACGGAATGTGGTGGTAACAATGAATGAATGCACGCATGAAGTTGGATTACATTTTAGTACTGTAATTTTGCACAGTATAGTATTCATTGCATTATTCATTGACTGCAGAAATGTACACTGTTGATAGAGATCTTTGATTCTTGATCTTGTTTCTTCCTCTGATATTTGCAGTTTTCTGTAGTTAAGCTTAATTTTCAAATATTGATCTCTTAAAAAATTTTAGTTTTAAAACCTTTCTTGAAGACAAGATATGATTTGTTTAAGGCATGTGTGAAAGGCCTGGAGCTAAAGTATATGTAGCATTATGTGGTCTAGCCATTGTGTGTAGTTGGCCTAAGTCTATTGTGTGTGTGATAAATTGATTCAATCTTGAGTAGGCTAATTTGTTTTTATATTGCAGGTCTCCATATCTCTTCTTAGTATTTAATTTCTAAATCTAATTTTGTTAAGAGCTTTTTAATATTATGCTTTATGTAAAAGTATACCTTGAAACTTGTAAAACTGTTTAACCTTTCATTTGACTTAGCACATAATGAATTGAGCATGCATACCTATTATAGTTCATACTTGGAAAAACACAGATTGACTGCAATAAACACAAAGAAATGTATGTACAATATACCTGACTTTGACAGGCTAGACACGGTGTGTGAACGATTATTGTTTGGTGACACCGCCTCCATACTAGACCCCAGTCTAGTGGAAGGAGAGTGGATACATCACAATATGACCAAACTTACTTCAAGGGGTGTGGTTCAGGTTCCCGAGGCTCATCCTGACGACCTTCCCAATTGGATCCTCACTGCTATGAAGTGCATGGCACACTGTAAGTGATTTTTGTTTCCCCATCATCAATGTGTATGGTAATCAAAATATATAATGAGTAGAACAGTTCCTGAAATAAACAAAATTAGCGGACAAAAAAAAACATTAATTGGGCCAGAAAGTAAAAATTAAACTACAGTGCATCCTTACTCTAACGAACTTGAAGTTAGTTCAGAATCAGTGTTTCATTATTTCAGTATTTCTAACAAATGTATGGGATTTCAGAAAGAGCTAAAACAACAGGAAAAATACTGTACTTTTTTGGAGGATTTCCAAGTGTGACTGTCTATAGGCTATATGAATTTGATGTTAATCAGATGAAAACCTTTGTGGGGAGCATATTATGGGAATAAATGCATCTACTCTACTAATGAGGGTAAAATACATACATTTCAGCATTTGGAGTTCAGGGGTTGATTTTAATCAGAAACAATGATGGTAGAGAGGATATATATAACATGTGTAAATAGTGTAATAAATACAATAACAGAATGGTGGGAGGAGCAGTGTTGGCGAGTAAGATGTTGGAGTGAGGGAGGGCTGGCTGGGTGTGGCTGCTCACACTCGTGGTGTTCTGAATGTGTTGATGGTGAATGTATATAGTGTGTGACAGTGTATAGTGTGTACATATGTTGTAAATATATATATAAATGAACAGGAAACATTGGTGTAAATAACTATGATGAGTGGAGCAATGTTGGCAAATACAATGTTGGAGGAGTGAGGGAGGGCTGGCTGGGTGTGGCAGCTCACACTCACGGTGTTCTGAATGTGTTGATGGTGAATGTATATAGTGTGTAAATAGATTGTATATATACATACCTGGTTGATGGGGTTCTGGGAGTTCTTCTACTCCCCAAGCCCGGCCCGAGGCCAGGCTTGACTTGTGAGAGTTTGGTCCATTAGGCTGTGGAGCGGCCCGCAGGCCCACATGCTTGGAGCGGCCCGCAGGCCCACATACCCACCACAGCCCGGTTGGTCCGGCACTCCTTGGAGGAATAAATCTAGTTTCTATAAATTAACATATACTGTATGGTAAATATGTGCAACGTATGTGTACACAAGTGTCATGCACGTAACACAGTGTCTTTGGACAGTACGGATGTTTTACTGCCATAATATAGTGTACGTGTTCACTATACATAGGATTAGCACGTAAAAACAAATAAAATGTATTTGGAACTGTGCGCAAAAAATGAACAAAAATATATTTGCGGCATCTCGTGAGCCCTGCCCTGGGCGCCCTACTGGCCCCGGAAGCGTACGTCACGGGCGAACAGGGAATGATGTCACACGCCAACTTACGAACCCCATAGCAGCCAACGTAAGTACATTTTAGATTTTTTTTTTTTACGTAACCGTACTGAGGGAAGGGTTTTTGACACTTTAAAAAAACAAAAGAATTTTGCCAGGTAAAATATTTCCTGCGCACTGGGAGGTGTCATATTTGGAAGCCGATCCGTTAAGAGGTTAAAGTCGCCATCGATTACCCAAAAAGATCTGGCAATCATAGTGTAAAAAATCAATTTTGCTTCACATTGTATGGTGGAACAAAGTCCCACTAAACAGTACGGGTAAATAATGTTGAAATTCAAGGAACGAGTCATCCAAAGAGGTATGTAATTCATGATCGGATCTGCAGTTACTGCTGTAAAATCAGAGTACTGGATAAATGGCAATGTTACTCCCAAGTTTGGTGTGTACGTCTGCCACAAAGATGCAGTTAGTTAAATGCCAAAAAATAAACATACCATAAGCCACTGTTTTTCATTTGTTATACTGTACAGTATTTGCCTTTATAACTGGAAAGATGTGGTCCCTATTATGTACCTCACAATTCATTCCACTTAGTGTCCTTACACTAAGGTAATTGTTCTGACAACAATGACAAGTAGTTTTGTCATGTGTTCTCTTGTTCTGTTGATGCTTAACTTAAATATTGGTTGTATAATATATTGCTATTCCTAAGTAGTTTATCTGGATAATATTCCTGCTAAGTTTCCTTCCTTAAAGTGACTATAGGTTCAGCTCCCTCACTTTGTCCTTGTGGCTGAATCCTCGTCAGGTATTTATTAGATTTCTTGTGAATGGTTTCTTAAAAACAGCATTGTCTAGATTTCTTAAGACTGTTTTGAGAGTTGCTAGCTTAGTATATGACTGTGTGTGTGTGTAATTACCTAAGTGTTGTTACAGGATGAGAGCTACGCTCGTGGTGTCCCGTCTTCCCAGCACTCTTTGTCATATAACACTTTGAAACTACTGACTGTCTTTTCCTCCACCACCTTCTCACCTAACTTGTTCAAACCATCTACCACTCTGTTTGCAAAACTGAATTTTCTTATATTTCTAAAGCATCTGTGTTTAGCTAGTTTAAATCTATGATCTCTTGTTCTTGAAGTTCCAGGTCTCGGGAAATCTTCCCTATCAATTTTATCAATTCCTGTTACTATTTTGTACGTAGTGATCATATCACCTCTTTTTTTTCTTGTCTTCTAGTTTTGGCATATTTAATGCCTCTAACCTCTCTTCGTAGCTCTTACCCTTCAGTTCTGGGAGCCACTTAGTAGCATGTCTTTGCACCTTTTCCAGTTTGTTGATGTGCTTCTTAAGATATGGGCACCACACAACCGCTGCATATTCTAGCTTTGGCCTAACAAAAGTTGTGAACAATTTCTTTAGTATATTACCATCCATGTGTTTAAAAGCAATTCTGAAGTTAGAAAGCGTGGCATAGGCGCCTCGCACAACGTTCTTTGTGGTCCTCGGGTGATAGTTTTCTAACTAGAACCATCCCTAGATCTTTCTTTATCAGAATTCTTTAAAGATTTCTCACATAATATATAGGTTGTGTGGGGTCTTTGTTCTCCTATTCCACATTGCATAACATGGCATTTATTAACATTAAATTCCATTTGCCAAGTGGTGCTACATATACTTATTTTGTCCAGGTCTTCTTGAAGGGCATGACAATCATCTAGGTTTATCTTCCCTATTATCTTGGCATCATCAGCAAGCATGTTCATGTAATTCTGTATTCCCACTGGTAGATTGTTTATGTAGACAATGAACATTACCGGTGCAAGAACTGAATCCTGTGGTACTCCACTTCTGACATTTCTCCAGTCCGATACATTGCCTCTGATTACTGCCCTCATTTTTTTATCAGTCAGAAAATTTTTCATCCATGTTAAAAGCTTACCTGTCACCCCTCCAATATTTTCTAGTTTCCAGAACAACCTCTTATGTGGAACTCTGTCGAAAGCCTTTTTTAGGTCCAGATAGATGCAATCAACCCAACCATCTCTCTCCTGTAAAATCTTTGTGGCTCGATGATAGAAACTGAGTAAATTCGATACATAGGATCTTCCAGATCGAAAACCATACTGTCTGTCTAATATTATGTTATTTCTCTCCAGGTGTTCTACCCATTTAGTTTTGATTAGTTTTTCCAATACGTTACTTTCACTATTAAACTTGTTAATGATACAGGTCTATAATTGAGGGGGTCTTCCCTGCTGCCACTTTTGTAGATTGGAACTATGTTATGTGTGTGTGTATGTGTACACCTGCATTGATTGGTTTCATATACTGTACTGTATTTGCATGTGCACGTATGAGTGCTTGAAGTAGAGAGAATTACATCATGGTCTTGCCTCTTTATTTTAAGGTATTGTATCATGTTTTACATTTTCACAAATATTGTGTCCCAATCATATACTTTTGAATCTGTGAACTGATTTGACATTTACCTCTTCCATCAATGGATCCTTTCATTCTTGGGATTTATTTGTTAAAAAAAAATCAACTGTGTCCTTTGTTTGATTTCTCATCTGGAAACAATGTGCATATCTACTTTATCTGTCAAATAATAAATAAATAGAATCCTGTGACTATTCACAGGATACTCAATACTCTTCCTTTACTGATTTCAAGTTCACCTTGTTTAATCATTTTATTCAATTATTTTCATGACCTCCGGGCTTCAAGCCAAACAGTTTATAAAACACAAAAATGCCTAACTTTATGCTAAGAAAGCGGTGTACTTTAGGATTAGTGTAGATTATCTGTGATATTGTATTCAACCTGTGTAATAATGAAATTAATCCCCGCATTTCAACTCTTGATATGTTAGTGCTTACCTGCATAATTCAGAATCATCATATTGTGATGTAGAAATCAATAATCACATCTAATTCAAAAGGTTGGTTTAATATCCATATTATTGTAAGCAATGCATTGCCAAAAATAAATAGGCTGCTATATATCTGCTAGAGCTCACACACCTACAGACCATTCCCAAAATTTGACTGTAAGTGATGGAGAAAAGGTAGAATTTCAAACGCAATAGAATTTCCCGTCCCCGGCGCGCACTCCCTAGCCTACACCTAGGTAGAGGGTGTCCGCGAGCACCCTCTAGGTGCGCCGAGCATTTTCTGGGAGCTCGCGGCCAGACTCGAATGTGTATACTCTTTTCAGTTTTCTCATCTCAATTTTCGTGTTACGGCGTTCATTTTGGTATCATTTTGTTCGAAATAGAATTCTCTACAGGGTAAACATATATGAAGTCCAAAACCTTAGCTTGCCATCCACACCAAACTCACAAATTGGCCGAGGGTTACCTGTGAGTGCGCAACCCCACCAAATTGTGTGTACTATTTTCGGGATTCTCATTCTCTGTTCTTGTGCTATGTTGTTCATTTTGGTATCAATTTGTTCGCAATAAAATTCCCTACAGAGATATATGCATATAATGTCCAAAATCCCAGTGTACCCCACCTGCAGCAAAGGTGAAAGTCGGCAAAGCATTTGCCATGTGCGAGCACACTTTTGCACACCCACTACACCTGCACACAAATGTACACAATCTTTTTAGTTTGATAACATCAATTTTCATGTAACGTCGTTCATTCTGGTATCAATTTGTTCACAATAGAATGCTCTACAGGAAAAAAAAAGCTGTACTTACCACCCAATGATGTTTGTAGACCATGAATTGAGCATTAAGCTGAACCACTTCACCTGCTCCAGGAAACTTACTACTTATCTACCCAGTATGTCCTCTTGCGATGGTACAAGCCAGAGCATGGTGCAGTACAAAGTGCCACATTACACAACTTGCACTTATATTTGGTGTCCTTTCTTTTACCAGTTTTGTAGCAAACACGACACTTCAGCCCTTTCTGGATGCGAAATAGAGAATGGTTCCAGTTCCTGTTCAGGTGTTCTTATTTATCAACAATTCGAGGGTTTCTCCTAGCAGTAGCACCAGAAGGAATAATCTGACATGTCTTCTGAGCCAGATGATAATTTGTTATGTAGAGGTGAAGATGGGAATAGTGGCTGCCTCACACTTGATGGTCCGGGTGTTGCAACACTGTCACCAGTAGATGTGCTCCTGTTGTCATGTTCATCACCAGAATGTCTGATGTTGTCATTTTGGAAAGGCCACTTCTAAGTCAAAATTCAGTACTGACCAAATGATGACTTCATGGAACTGTAGCAATGCGAGTTTCTTTGTATCGGTTGTGTAGTACTGGTATAACACAAAAGCATTATGGATAGCCATTTGCATAAAGTAGAATGTAATTTTCTTCGTCCACTTGTAACATTTCCATGCGAAATGATATTTGACCATTTGGTCGAAGTGATCAACACCTTTCATGTTATTTTAGTCACAGATTGCATTTGGTTTGTTCACAGTGACCTGTTGCAATGAAGATGTTCCGTCAGGTTTGCATACACGTTTACTTCGTTCCACTTGTTGTGTATCTGCATTGTGAGTAGTTGTGATGAGTGAAACAACTCGCTTATCTTTCCACAGAATTAGAAAAGTATTGTCTTTACATCGGAATACTGTTTTATCTACTGGCAGTTTACCTTTTGCTTGAAGCTGAAGATCTTTTGGTGCACCACATTGCAATCTGAGAGTACCACAGGTGTATAGTAGTTATCCATAAATAAATGGTAACCTTTGTTCTTCAGTAGTTCCATCAAACCCATAAATGTTTCAATTGTTGTCTTCCCAATTCCTGCATACACCTCAAAATCATAGATGTAACCACTTTTGGATTCAGCTAGCATGTACAGCTTCACTCCATAATTATTTATTTTTATTTGAATTATAGACCTTGAAAGCTAGCCGGCCCCTCCATGACATTGTACCTTCATCCAAACACAGATTTTTCGTTGGAATGTATAATGTTTGTTTGTTTATTTTTTTGAGATATTCCATGAATGTTCTAACTTTGATTAGTTTGTCTTTTATTGTCTTTGGTAATGGCATTATTATTATAGGTATGAAAATACCTTGCAATCAATTCATGTCGTTTCGACGTCATAAAAGTATTGAAACAAGGTACATGCCACATTTTACCTGTTTGCCAGTACATTCTCATTGCTGGCAACTTCATAATGCCCATCAACATTGTCAGTCCCAAATATCTGGCAAGCTCTTTTTGCTCTTTTACACTCAATTCATCCCACTTATTGCTTGGGGTGCTAGAAGCATTGCAGTTGCTTTGTGATACATACAAGTTTGTTTCATATACAAAATATTGCAACAAATCTTGTGTAATAAATAACTGTAAAAATCCAAGAGGAGTGAGTGCCACATGGCAATCAATGCCTCTTGCCTCAATGCCACATGGCCCATAACAGATAACAGGAAGGCATTGGCGCAAAGTTTAAGACATGTCCCAAAATGATCGAATAAAAAATGTAGTTTTAATGCATTTATTAAATTTGGACGTCGGCTATGTCCCTCCCGAATATCTGCAGAGTTAATTTCGGATGTCATATTGGTCCCTCCTGAACGAAAGTGTTAATAGACATACAGATAATACTGTTCCATTCGCATGAGCTCTAGGAGAGTAACCTTGGATCCCACAAGTGTGAGACCGTAGGTCTATTGACCGAGCTATTGAGTTTTATCAGATAATACTGTACTGTCTCTCACCTTATATTTATGTACGAAGGCATACTGCACACAGATTTATAAATGTTGTATTGAACTATTTTTATGCTTAATATTCTTATTTCTATTTTTAGGGCCAAATGTTGTAGACACAACTTGCAATATTCCCAACTACCCTGGTGTGGAGAAAGATGTTTTCAAAATTGTTCGTGACTTCTTCACTAATCTGGTTTGTATATGTATGTTCTTTAACATATCATGCAAATACATTTAAAGGATAGTTGAGTGTTTACAGCAAAATCTTACCTTAGAAAATAGATTTGATAATTCATAACTTTTTCTTTACAGGTTACTCCCCTGATTCCATATGAACTCTACGAATCATTTATTAGAATTTACATTGGTGCAGAGTTTTTGGACATCACCTACCGCTCTCCAAATTCAGCTGGTGGAGTATCCTCTAGTGGTAAAAGTTGTGATGGAAGCTACAATGCAGAGGATTTTAATGATAATGACTCTGTTGAAGATTTGATGTTAAACATGAGCATTTCTGGTCAGCAAAAGACTTCTACACCAAACACAGACAATGAAAATAATACAAGTGGAGAGAAGCAAGGATTGGAAGGACACAGAACATTCAGACGGGAGGGATCAAGTAGAAGTCTGGGGAGCAACTTGCACACTCCGTCAGGAAGACAAACTGCTCTTTTGAATTCTTCTAATCTTCAAAGTCTTAAGCTTAGAAGGCTAAAAAATTACACGGATTTTAAAGAGGATAACTTGTATCCCACCCTTTTGGAAGGAAGTCATGAAGGAAGTGGTATAGGAATTCCTTCTCCTAATCATGAAAGTATAAGGCCATTGAGCCGCCAAAGTAAAATTTCCAGCGAGCCCTCGATGCACAGACAACCAGAAACTGTTCGATCTGTCAAAACTAATGATTATGCAAGGAGGGTAAGGAAAGAAAATGATGGCAAAGAGGAGAGTTGTGAACTTGCTGGTGCTATTAGGAGCTCAGAGTTAAGTAGTTTTGATCTACCCCAAAACTGCTGCTTTGAAACTGCATTTACATCAGACAGTCCAAGAACAAGGATAATTCCACAGAAGTCGGTGGACTCTCTGCATTTCAAAAATGGTGAAAGGTTAAAAGTACTTCTGAAACAGAGACCTAAAAGCATTGCTGTGCCATCATGTTCATCTTGTGACAGGCAAGTATCAACCACCAATTTCTGGGATACTACCAAAGAATTAAAGAATGTTTCAAGAGTTTCAGATTTATTTAAGTCTAGCATAATGTCGACAAACACAAGTGGTGAATATGTAACTGCTTTGATGCACTCGCCATTAAACCGTTCTAGATCAGCTGGAAACCTGGAAATCCTGAATGAAGATAAAATCACTCAAAATTCCTCCGACTCTGTGAGTGTACATAATTTAAATGAAATTAATCCTACAAGAAGTTTGGCGAGCAGAATTAGAGACTCCATTAAAAGGAAGCACTCGCGTGATGATTCATTTTCTAGAAAGCGTAGTAATGTAAGTAGAGAAAGCAAAGATCTGAGTGCAGAAAGTGGAAAGTTCAAAAATTTGGATCATTTAAGAACAAAATCCGGGGGTTACATGAATCCTACCCTTTCCCCAGATAATACTAGTCATGAGGATATTAGAAGTATTAAATCATATGCGTCGGATTACCAAGAACTTGACTCGGGTTTGAGTCATCTTCGCACGAAGTCTGGAGGCTTTCTAAATTTGGCTTTGATGCCATCCAATAACAGCATTGATACAGTTGATTCTGCAAACACTTTCTCTGGAGCTTCAACCACATGCTATCACACGGCTGTGCAACATCAGCGTTCTGTTTCTCCTCTTTATGGTCGTAAAAGTCACGAGCATTTCATACCATCTCGGACCGAGGTACTCAGGAATAGACATAATACACCAGATGGGTGTCTAAGTCATAGTTTATCATCTTCATCTGGATGTAGCGTATACCATTCTGCTTTATCACAGACAAGTCGGAATAGCACACCAAATCCTACAAGTCCTCCTGTACCACCAAGGGTTGCACGACCAGTGAGTGGGATGGGTGGCATTTATTCAAAATCACAATCTCAAGGTAAGGAATACAGTACATGTATAATTTTTTGTTTTACTTTATAAACTAGCATCTCTGCATGGTCATCGAAAATGGGTTGAAGAAATTGTATACTGTATTTGTATGCATTGTATTTACTTTCCTAATGAATGTTTAGTTTCAAAATACGGTATCTTAAACCAAATCCATGTACACTTCCAACAATTATGAGGACATTTCACAACTTTTTACTTTTGCACTTATATATATACTGTACCAGTAACTAATCACACTGTTCACTTGTCATATGCTTAGACCAATAAGGTTCAAGTACAGTATATTTTAGTGTTTTTCACATGCCATCACTTCAAGCTCTCTCACTGCATAGACATACTCTAATTCCATACAAACCTCTTCTGTATACAAATATTGACCTTTTCAATTATCACTTTCTCAGTTACTGTGATCATCATGCCATACATTTAATCCATAAAACCTATACTACTACTCATCATAACCTACAAATTTTATTCTTCTGGCTAACTTAACACTTTTGAGCCCCAGGCATGCACACTGCAAACTTAGGTCATGCCCCCGGAGTAGGGGCGAGCACGCGGCGACACCGAAATGTGTATACTCGTTTCAGTTTTCTCACCTTAATTCTTGTGCTACGTTGTTCGTTTTGGTATCATTGTGTTCGCAATTGAATTCCCTGCAGGTATACATGCATACAATGTCCAAAAACCCGGCGTGATTCCCCGCAGCAAAGCCTAAAGTTATCCATGAACAAGCACCAATTTGCACACCGAAGCCTAATGTGTATACTCATTCAGTTTGATAACATCAATTTTTGTGTTATGTCTTTCATTTTTGGTATCAGATTGTTCGCAATATAAAGGCGCGTATTTTAAAACTAGCCCCATAATAATAGATCAATAACAGGAATTTTAACAAATATTTTAATTTTGGACGCTCATCATCACAAAATTATTTATATCTTTCCAGTGTTCTGACATAAATTTTCGTGTTGCATCTTTCATTTTGGTATCAAATTGTTCGCAATCTAAAGGTGTGCATTTTAAAACTAATCCCATAATAATAGCACAATAAATAGAATTCTAACAAATATTTTCAAATTTTGAACAAAAATGTACAGTATTTATAATCTTTCAGGTGTTCTGACATCAAGTTTCATGTTACATCTTTCATATTGGTATCACATTGTGCGCACTCTAAAGGTGCTCATTTTGAAACTATCCTGAAGTCAATTGGATAAAAAATGAATTTTATACAAATATTTTTGTATCAGATGCAGCACGAGGCCTAGGCTTTTTTCTCAAGAGAAAAAAATCGGATGCCAGGGATGTTTGAAGAGTGTGATAGTGTTTAATATGGTATCAACACCTGTTTTGTGGAGGGGCCGAATGGTGTTTCCTTGAAGCTAGCACAGAGATAGCTCCACACACAGACAAATGTAAAACAGATCCAAGCCTTTTTTTTATAAATCCATTAAAAGCAAGCTGCATGTAAAGGATAAAATTCAGAGATTGAGAATGGGAAACAGGTTCATTGAGAATGAAAAAGAAATGTGTGAAATACTAAATGAAGTTCCAAAGTGTGTGTTAAAAATTAGGATTTCAGTGATGGACCCAATGCCAATTCCAGAAAACACTATAGAGTACATAGAGGTGTCTCAAGACGAAGTGGAAAACTTACTGAAACTTATTTCAATTTCCACTTGAAATTTCAACATACAGTACCGATATACAGGGTATTTCATCTTTAGTGTAGGATATATGATTTGATGATTAGGTGTCATTATCATATGTGGTGGAACCTAGATTATGATTTTTATTGGTATATGAAGTCAAATTCATTGTAAAATTTGAATTGGTGTGCAACATTTGCCTTGGAACACGATTCGTCCGTTGATACTTGTATGGGTCGAGTGAGGGCGTGGTTCTGTTGGGCATGGCGTGGACGAGGCATGCTCAGTGTTTACCAGTGTCTCCCGCGTAGAGTGACGACTGCGCTTGAATTCTTTGTAGATAATTTTATTGTTCTGTTTTTTTGGTTTTTGAACATAAAAGTTCTTATTATATATTATCCCATGGGTCACAAAAAAGTCAGTGGTAAAGTTCAACCTAAGAAAATAGTTGAGGATGATGATAGAGGATAAACAAGAGATGTGATGTCTCACTATAGACTAGTGTTAAGACGTAGTGAAAAACATGTGTCTATGGACAGGGTCTTAGTGAGACAAACAGGCAGTGAGCCATAGCATGGTCCTAGTGGTATGCCTGCAAAACATAGAGAGAATACCCCAGAAATGGGATCAGTGCCTGATGTTATAATGGAAGGGGACTCCCCTTCCAAACAAAAGCATCTCTCCTTCCCCCCCCCCCCCATTTCTCTACTCTCAGTTTTCCATATGCCAACAAAAGTCCTCAATAAAGGTAAGGTATCTGTACAGTATAGCAAAAAATCTGAGTAATATTATGTAAAATATGTATTTTCAAGTAAATATTTTTGAGGGTATGGAAGGATTAATTCAATTTACATTATTTCTTATGGAAAAATTTGGCTGGTTTACCATTTTTTGGTGTAAGACGTATCTCTTGGAATGGATTAAAATCATTAATGAAGGTACCACTGTACTGTACATATATCTATCTTTTTTTTCTTCCACTTTCATATCCTCTTTTGGGTTGATACTTTTTTTTTATGGCACAAATACCTCCTGACCCCCGATGAAAGTATGAAATAATGCACTAATGTTAAGAATGTTTAATTCTCTGTTTTTGTTTGTCATTTATCTTTATTCATGTATATTTTTATTTGCAATTAAATATTTCAGAGTGCCCCAAAATACCAAACTATGAAAATGTGGCAGACCTCTCCAAGCAGTTGTCATCATCTGCGAACGAGCTGAGTGACCGATGGGCCGACCGAACTCCGTACGGACAGGTGCCCCCATATGCTCAGGGGGGAGTGTGGCGTCACTACCACTCCTCCCCAAGTAAGCGTCTCATTGGGCGCAGGAAAGGGATCGAGGTTTACTATGGGAGCAAAGCTTGTCTGCCTGGTATGCTGCTCTTGCTTGCACAATTTATTATACAGTGGCACTTCCAAAATTTGGATCATATTGTTTCAGACCTGACCCGGATTTTAAAACTGCACTTGCTGGCTTTTTATCTACAAGTTTTCCAGGTTTTTCAAGTAGTGTAAAACTCAAAATGAAAATAAACCATGGCATTTTATTTTAAATATGTTCCATGGTTTTCCCAAGGCTCCAAGTGTTTCTCCTAGTGTTGTGTCCATCTATAATTTTTTTTCTCCCACTTAATTGGAGCCACAATGTTACCATTCATACCCTAATGTTTTCCATTTTCTGGGCAAATTTTACCAAGCAAAATTTTAATTTCAAGCTATCATTTGATGGACAACTATCAGGGAGAGCTGACAGTAAGAGGTTCTACCATATTGCCAGTATTTCTCCCTTTCCAGGCCTTTTAAATCTTATTTTTTAAAGGTGTAGAAAATGGTTTAAGTGAATTTTGCCTAACGGCTTTCCCACATCAAAAATTCTTCTTTTAACTCAAGATTTTCTATGAAATATCTTTGGAAGTTTCCAAAAAAATAATTTAGGAGGTATGGTTTCATAACCTTTTTCAGCATAACATTTCTGGCACTTCCACTTGGTCTGGATGGTAGAACGACGGTCTCACTTCGTGCAGGTCGTCGTTCAATCCTCAACCATCAAAGTGTGCTATATAGATGTAATGGCTTGACTCTTTCCCCTGATAATTCCCTCCCTCCCTCACCTTAACTCTGACCTCAACTGAAGAACAAAAAGGCGCCAAATAACAACTTTGTATAAAATTAGTTAATGAGCCGAATTTCACAGTGCTGCCTCTGGTATCTGGACATTTTTCCAACAAATTTAAGATATGAAGGGAGTTCCGGTAACTGAATTTGAACAGTTGTTTAGAGAATCTGTTGGAGGAAAATCCAAAGTTTGAAAGTGCCACTGTATCTTTTTTTTTTTTTTTTTTTAATCTATACTGCTCATTTTGATGTTGAATTTGTTGCATTTTTGCCTGCAATAATATATGATGCCCGTTTCAGTTGTTTAGAATGTATAGTATAAAATCATGAATAATTTATCAGTTAATGGATACAGTATCATCCATATGGATATTGATTCAAAATCAAAAGGTTTTAGAATACTATGTGTAATTACATAAGCATAGATTCAGGATGGGAGCTGTGCTCGTGGTGTCCCATCTGCCATTAGGTGTTTTGATGCTGTTATTGGGTTGCTCTTGTATCTTCTTTCACTAGGAGCTGTGATACCCTGACATTTATTTTTGTATTTTCTGTCTCGCCTCCAGATTGAATAGTCCCTCAGAAATACCACGTCATTTAAAAACTTCTCTTCTAGTTTGGTTTCTGCTAGTGCAATAATACATGGTAATTTCTGGGTTTGACCCTTGTAGCTCCCAGGTACAATTGATTCTGGTACCAGAGAAACATTCGTGAAACTTCCAGGCCTCTGAACTTGTGCAGGCCTACTGAACACCAGGATCAAAATCTAGTGTGCTCCAAGAGGTAATGGGAATTGAAGATTGACTCAAAACTGACTAAAATTGGCCAGAAAATAAAGGCCAAAGGCCATAATGAACTGTTTGTTGACTAAGAAGATGGAAGCAGTAGTTTGTTGCAGTCTCATTTGTTCAATGTCAACAATCCATGGGCAAGTACCAAAGTGCACCACCAGGTGGTAGCTCAAGTCACCCAGGGGTCCAGTCTTCATACTTCATCACTCTTGTGTCTGGTACCAAACACACCATCTTGCATGGCCTCATTCAATTAGTTTGCCCCAACTTTATTTCAGGGATACCTTCCCCTTTGTCGGCTCTGGATTTCCCTTTTTGTCACCAGCTATGTTCTCTGAAGGGTTCAGATTTCTTCCTTTCTGGGCTTTCAAAAATTTCCAAAGGGCCCAAGGTTTTGTAGTGCTTGCAACTTGCTGCTCAGGCATGTTGATGGGAGTTGATAAGGCCCACTGCATACTTTTAAGGAAAACAAAAAACACCCAAGTGTTTGTGCTTGGTTATACATTGTTTATAGGCATGTATTGTGCATGAATGGGAACCTACTTGGGTGGTGTATAAAGATTTTTTTGGCATACGTATTCGATACTTGTATGTTAGCTACACTTCACTTTCCCTGGTGCTTTCCCAGTCGGCATGAATCAGACTTATTTAAATTTGGCAGGATTCTGTTGACACCTTCCTTCCTGGTCTTCTCGTTTTGCCAGATTTGGCTGAAGGCATTGTACTGTACTGTACTGTACTTCCATGTTTCACCACCACTGTGATCATGTAATTTCCTAAGTGTAGTTGCAGGATGAGAGCTACGCTCGTGGTGTCCTATCTTCCCAGTACTCTGTCGTATAATGCTTTGAAACCGTTGACAGTTTTGGCCTCCATCACCTTCTCTCTTAGCGTGTTCCAACCGTCTATCACTGTTTACAAAAGAAAGCTTTCTAATATTGTGGTGTGACATTCTTGGGCCTTAGGAAGGATTTTGATAAGTCATTTTTCTCTGCCTTTTTCTGGGTTCAAGATGCTTGTTGCTCATCCCTTCCATCTCATTAATTGTTAAATGACACAAGAGAATCTGCTGGGTTATTTTCCAGCTTACAACTCCGGCTGAGGGGTTGTGGTCCTTTGTCTGCGGTGTATATGATAGTGAGAGAATTTGCAGCAGTTTGATTGACACTTTGGCGAGTCCATCTTTTGTTCGGCCTTTGTGATCTGGCTTCAGTCAAAATACTTGTTGATGGTTCACTTCCTCAGCAGAGGGGACTTCAATGACACTTTTCTAGGGAATTCCCTTGGTGGCTTCTATACTAATTGGCTACATCAATTGCAAGCGTTCTTGTTTAGCCTACTGGGGATCAGATTCTCACAACTTGGCACACCCCTACCTCAGAGAGGCACAAGGAACAAGTGGCAATCTGCCCACTACCAGGAAAGCATTCAGAAAGTCAGCAAAGCATTACTGACAACTGGAGGGGCTTCAAAAAAAGAAGCTTAGAACCCCTAAAAATTGCGCAAACGAATCACACTGGAACAATAGAACCATTCAAAACTAGCCTAATGATTAAAATATTTACAAGTATAATATTTACTATCCTAAATTATATGGACGTAAAACGTAACGAACAGAGAAAAATTTATTAAAAAATTGAAATAATTGACAATCTAAGTGAATTGTTAGTAATGATAGCTGCCACCAAGCGACCCAGCCTATGGAAGTGAACTCTCGGGATAGCATCTTTTCTGGCAATTCGGTGTTTAGTTCTGAATGCAGTCCACATTCAAGGTGGTGTTCAACATTCATGTATATGGCTTTTCTCTTTTGTCCAGAATGAGACATGAATGACTTGGCCACATCTCAATCTGGACAGAAGCGAGAGAAGTCTTGTGCAATGGATTCGTGAGACAATCATCTCTCGCATTTGATGGTTTTTATTTGGACTAGAAGTGATAAGCCTTCCTTTACATCTTTTCTCTGGTCTAGCTTCTCATCTCTGTTTTGGTCTGATTGCAAACCTCCGCTAGCCATGTCATTTTGCTGGTTCTGTTCCAATTCCAAGCCCTTCTTGCTCGTTGTTTCTATTCATTTCTGTTTCTGGATTCTCTACTCTTGTCCAACAATCATACTTACCTGGGTGGCTTGAATTTATCCACCGATGTTCATGTCGGGCATTTTTTAACCAGTTGTATGTTTTCGTGGAGACCAGGCGGCAGCTCTTTTAGTGGCTCATTGGTGTCCTTTATGTAACTATTTATGTAATTACACACCCCATTCATTTTGTCAAGAATTGCATTATCCTTTGTTGAAAGCACTGGGCAGCACTTGATGATACTGCTTTTGCAATGCATGACTTATGTAATGCTTTTATTAAAATGACAACCTCATATATTATGATAACATTGTTTGGCATGGTGTGGCTATTTAAGATCAAACATCATGGTTTAATGTTCATAATGTAAATGGCATATATGGGAAGGGCATTGCTATAATGGCATAATTAAAATACAGGTTTATAACTTAATTAATATAACTAAAAGTTATACCACCTGTACTGGCTAAATAAATAAATTTAACAGGAATGATGTTTGTATATTAAAAAAAAAATCATAATTAACATTATTTATATATTTGATAAATGCATGATCTACCAAATGTTGAAGTACTTTATATGCTTAAAGCTAATTAACTTTAATGTAATTAATATAAAGAATATCATTTTTATCAGGATACCTCCAACAAGCATACATAAGCAAAGTAATGTCTTTGACAATAATTTTTTTTTTTTAGAATCATTTTAGGTTTACCATCTTTGTATATCAATTGTAGTGTATCATCTTCCAGGTTGGTGGTAAGTTGTAGTTTTATATTGCTGTACATTAATACAATCAAACATAAAAATTCTTAAAATTTACTCGAATAAAAGATCATAGATGCTGAGGTAGAGAAATAGTGAGAGACTAACCATTCTTTTAATTTCTACTACAGTGACACCTCGGCTTACGGATGCCCCTATTTACGAAATTTTCGGGTTACAAGCCCAATTTCTTCATAAAATTTGAATTCGGTTACGAACTTTGTCTCAAGTAATGTAGTTCGTTGATACACGTATGGGCAACCTAAAGCATGGTTCCTGGTGGCACGGTCACCCATGCTTCAGTTTACCAGTGGCTCCCACTTAATGACGATCGTGCTTGAATTCTTTGTAAAGAATTTCATTGTTTTTGTTTTTTTGGGGTTTTGAACATAAAGTAATTATTATATATCATGCCATGGGTCCAAAGAAAATGAGTGGTAAGGTTCAACTTAATTTAAGAAAACACACCTGAGGATGACCATAGAGGAAAAATAAGAGATCATTCGTAAACATGAAAATGGTACACTGGTTGTTGAACTAGCTAGGCAGTACAACAAATCTTCATGGGAGCAGGAAGCAGTGGAGGATGTCCCTTCCTCATTAATTAAGAAAATGTGTGCAGTATGGGAAGAACTGCAAAGTTTTGCTGAAAATATTCGCCCAGATAAAGCTTTAGCAGGCCGTTGCATTGACCTTATTAATGACAATGTGATTTATCACTACAGATAAGTGTTTAAAGGTAGGGAAAACGAATGTCTTTAGACAGATTCTTGGTAAAACGAGCAAGCAGTGAGCCACAACCAGTTCTTAGTGGCATGCCTACAAAATGTAGGAGGGGAGAGAGAGAGAGAGAGTACCCCAGTGAAGTTATCAGTGCCTGATGTTAAAATGGAAGGGGACTTCCCTCCCAAACACTAACCCCTCTCCTCCTCAACCTCCCCCCCCCCTCCTCCTTACCGTTTTCCATACACCAACAAGTCATCAATCAATCTGTCCTCTTAGAAATTACATCTGAATTTGGCTGTTTGCCCGTATGGCCAAAAATGGACGTAATGTAAAAATGAAAAATAATTTTAAATTTAAATTGTGGATATTTTTTCCAGAACAGCAAGTTAAGGGTCCTCTGGTAGGTTAGAAGGGTAAGAAGTTCTCCTAATGTTTCAAAACGTCATGAAAACCATTAATTGAAAGTTTCCTCTCCTAACCTAACCGAGTAAGCCAGAGGACTCGTACAGAAAATGCGACAATACATCACTTTTGTGAGCCAATTTCATTTCAAATTAAATCCATTTTTGGCCATAGTAAGCATACGAGCAAAAAGTGTGCGTAATTTTAAGAGGGCGGGTTGCATCAATAAAGGTAAGTTACAATTTGTACATACTGTAGTACTAAATATTTGTGTGTATTAGGTATGAAAAGTATTTTGAAATAAATATTTTTGGGAGCATGGAACAGATTAAATCAATTTACATAATTTCTTATTGGAAAATTCATTTCGACTGTTGCAAATTTTCGGGTTATGGACTGTCTCTGGGAACGAATTAAATTTGTAAATTGTACTTTAAATTCTGGCAAGTACATTAGGTTATCTTGAGGGTTATCTTGAGATGATTTCGGGGCTTAGCACCCTCACAGCCTGGTCCTCAACCAGGCCTCTTTTTTGTTACACCCCCTCAGGAAGCAGCCTGTAGCAGCTGTCTAACTCCCAGGTACTTATTTACTGCTAGGTAACAGGGGCATCAGGGTAAAAGGAACTCTGCCTATTTGTTTCCGCCTCCACCGGGGATCGAACCCGGAACCTCAGGACTACGAATCCGAAGAGCTGTCCACTCGGCTGTCAGGCCCCCCTGACCTGGGTACCTCGGACCCTGGAATCATTTCCTCCTACAGCATCACCACTACTGCTGTTTTTATTAACTTTTGAGTGATGGAGAGGCATTTGCTTAGAATAAGTTGCAGTACATGTTTAAAGTGAAAAGGAGATTAGATGAAAATCGTTTATATAGACATGTTGTACTGTGTAAATCGGTGTAAAAAGAAGCTGGTGTTACTCACATAATCAAAATAACATGATTTGAGTTGGGCATTATTCTCTGCATAATGATAGCTATGCTAGACAAGTTGGCCAATATCCACACTATAATTATAGTGACATGAAACATACTAGCGTTATCCAATTTAAATGTGTATCTTTAAATACGTATCTTTCTTCATGCAATCTCTTCACTGCACTAATCCCTATTCCATCAACTTCATACATGTTTAACACACATTTTATTTGTGCTGTTATATGCTTCTTGCATGCCTTTTCTACTAGTTGTGGATTAAATATCTGCATTCAAGACAATACTTCCTTTACCACAAAATCTGCTATGTTCATCACTGACCAATATATCTATATTTTTTAAATGTGTCTCTTTAAGCTTAATTATAATATGAGAAAGATTCCATAAAAGTGCAATACTGTATTAGGAATGTTAAGAAATATCCCAATTTTATTTAAAGTTTTGTATGGTAACATATCAGTCGGTTATTGTTCATGGATTATGTTAGTGTTAAAAGGGGCATGTTTGTATTTCTTTTTAGGGCTTCTAACAAGAGAGGGTAAGGACATTGCCATCAGTTCTGTTAGATTGTTGCTGTTACTGTTAGCTCCGGTGCGACGAAGGAAGCTGCATCTTCTACTTCGCATGATGAGTAAAATGTCGACTAATGACAAGTTGACCCTTGATCAGGAGCAAAGCACCAGAGCTCTGGTTAGTTACCTCTTTAGTTTAATGCATCAGAATATATATTTATCCTTAGCAAAGTCATTTTATAATTAAACGGTTCATTGTTTTTGAAGGGTGCTTGTGTGTATAAGTATTGTAAGTTATTTTATTTAGGCTAAATTTGGGTATTGTATTCAACAGAAAACTTTCATACCTTGCTGGTGTGCACTTACATGTAACATTACAGTACTGTGAGAAAATCCACTAGGGCTGTGAGGTTGGCGTGGAACTATGACCCCAACATTGCCAAGGTGCCCCACTTTACCACTAGACTCCCGCTGACTTGTAAAAGTCATACAACTGGATTTCTACTAAAATCACAGGAAGTCTGGAGGTCCCTACTGAAATACAGGAAGTCTGGAGGTCCCTACTGAAGCCAGTCCAAGTGTTTACATGTGACCCACAAGCACTCGGGTGGCAGGGCAGAGTGGTCCCACACCTCATGCCCCAACTTCAGAAACAGAAATCACAGTTGCGTGATATATATAAATACTGTAATATATATTATTACAGTATTGTGGTATGGTCAAGAATTTGATCTGCTTAATCACTTAATGTCTATTTGATTTAGAAATAGTAATGTAACTACAAATATAGATGTGGTTTAATCATTTTTCCTTTACACACAGACCTAATTCTTCATTTTGCTGTAATTGAGATATCACTGAATGATAAGCAGTGGAGAATTTTCAGGCACTGAGCAGCTATTTCCTTGATCTGGAGGGCATTGGAGTGTGGCCAAGGAATTCCCTCTGCTGGTAGGAGAGTAGTTAGACCAAGCTGCTGACTGACTGCATGTCAACCACGAGCTTACCATATATGTCATGTGTACTGCACATTTCTTTTCACCTAGAAGTTAAATGTACCTGGAGGCTGCAGGTCCTGGGAAATGGGAAAATGGTATTTCTTTGGTGGGGGACAGGATTCAGCTGAATCTGTCGTTTGATCAGATTCTGGCTAGGGTCTAATGTGCATTGAAAAGATGGCACACTTGTTGGTTCCTGGGATGTCATTCGGAACCTCTTATGGTTATCTGCATATACTTATGTTTTAGCTCCTTGATCATACAAGTGTTTACACTTTGCTCTGTTGGACTCCATTGTGGGTGCTACCAGAGCCTACTGGGAATCAAGATCGGAATCTCTGTGATGCAATGTAGCTTGGGTGTCAGAGATTAACCTAAAACCTAGAAGAAACAACACTAGAAAGTAGTCATTTGCCTCATTACCTTTGGTAACTAATTCTCTTCAAATCTTTGTTTTTGTTGTGCTTGTGTTTCTGGTGTTACTTTTCTTGGTTTTAGTTTAACTCTACTTTCCATGTTCTCTTCCCCCTCATAGAGAGGCAAATTGTAGTCTCAAGGTTGGTGCATCTCTATAAGGCTTGGCTGGACCAGAGCTTAGCTTGGAAAGTTGCAAAGGACCCCACTAGAAAAGGGCATTTCATTACATTGAATGTTTTATTGTGTTTCGTTTTTAATGTTTTGTGAATAATTTTGATTATCTTTGTCTACCAGGTGTTGAACACATTCACACGCAGTATCCTCTTGTGTGACCAAGAGGTGGATTATGATGAAGTATTGTCTCTCCGCATTGTTTCATTTTTGATGGATAACCATGAAGAGGTGTTGCGTCCACCACAAGATCTTAGTGTTCTTGTGCACCGCAAGCTCTCCCAGATTCAGCGGAGTAAGGTGAGTATCATCTAAAGGGCTTATGAATTAAGTGTGCATTATATGTTTCAATCCAGCATCAGATGTATTGTTTATTGCATGACTAACCGTGTACTTTTGCAATGAGAATGAAATAACAAATTTTTAGTAGTGCAAGAAAGCGTCCAAAATCTTTCCTGCTAAATCAAGTTTTGACATAAACAAATCATGCCTAATTGAAAATTATGGCCCCATTATTTGTGTGTACTCACCTAGTTGTGCTTGCCGGGATTGAGCTTTGGCTCTTTGGTCCTGCCTCTCAACCGTCGATCAATTGGTGTACAGATTCCTGAGCCTACTAGGCTCCACCATATCTACATTTGAAACTGTGTATGAAGTCAGCCTCCACCTCATCACTTTCTAGTGCATTCCATTTACTAACTACTCTGACACTGAAAACGTTCTTTCTAACATCTCTGTGGCTCATTTGGGTTCTCAGCTTCCACCTGTGTCAAATAATCCATCCATGTCTACCCTGTCAATTCCCTTAAGAATTTTGTATGTGGTGATCATATCTCCTCGAGCTCTTCTGTCTTCCAGCGACATGAGGTGCAGTTCCCCCAGCTATTCCTCGTAAGTCATGCCCCTTAGTTCTGGGACTAGTCTAGTGGCATACCTCTGAACTTTTTCCAGTTTTGTCTTGTGCTTTACTAGGTACGGGCTCCATGCTGAGGCCGCATACAACAGGATTGATCTTACATACGTGGTATACTAGGTTCTGAAAGATTCCTTACACAAGTGTGAACACAAGTAGCTTCTGAAGGCAATTCTAATGTTAGCCAGCCTCGCATACACCGCGATGTTGTTCATTTGATGTGGGCTTCAGGAGACAGGTTTGACGTGATATCAACTCCTAGATCTTTCTCTCTGTTCGTTTTGTGAAGGACTTCATCTCCCATTCGATATGCACTGCCTGGCCTCCTATTTCCTCCGCCTAGTTTCATTACCTTACATTTACTTAAGTTAAACTTTAGTAGCCATTTGTTGGACCATTGGTGTGTGTGTACTCACCTAGTTGTGTTTGCGGGGGTTGAGCTCTGGCTCTTTGGTCCCGCCTCTCAACCATCAATCAACAGGTGGCATGTGTGTGTGTATATGTATGTACATATTCACCTAGTTGTACAATAAATGTATATAATATATATAAAATAATGTCGTACCTAGTAGCCAGAACGCACTTCTCAGCCTAAGATGGAAGGCCCGATTTGCCTAATAGGCTGAGTGATTTTTTTTATTTTCAAAAAAAAATTCCAGTTGATTTATTTGAAATAATATTATATTATATTAAGAACATATATTATTGACTTAGTGATGTTAGTTTAGATTAGGTTAAGATAGGTTAGGTTAGGTTAGGTAGGGTTGGCTAGGTTCGGTCATATATCTACGTTAGTTTTAACTCAAATTATAAAAAATTAACTCATACATAGTGAAATGGATAGCTTTATCATTTCATAAGAAAAAATTAGAAAATTACATAAATTCAGGAAAACATGGCTTATTAGGCAAATCGGGCCTTGCATTCAAGGCCAAGTATTGCATTCTGGCTACTAGGTACAAAATAAATAAATATATATATATGACCGAAGGGTAAAATTAATGATTTAAACACAAATCTCGATATTTCTTAAGTTTTTCTTCACTGTCGGGGGTTTGTTGTACTGCCTAGCTAGTTCAACAACACGAGTACCATTCTCATGCTTACAAATGATCTCTTGTTTTTCCTTTATGGTCATTCTCACATGTGATTTCTTGCCTTCAACCGTACCACTGGCTTTCTTGGGACCCATGGCGCGATATATAATAAGAAATTTTGTGCTCAAATAGAAAAAAATCCAAAAAGAAACGGTAAATCCTTGCGAAGAATTCAGGCGAGATAGTCACTGGGTACGAAGCACTGGTAAACTGAGGCGCAATCACCGTGCCACTACGCGCTAGGCTGGCCGTACGCGTATCAACAAACTCGTATCCTGAGGTAAAGTTCGTATCCCGATTCTTATTATCCGAACAAATCGGGCTCGTAACCCGAAAAGTTCATAAACAGTTCGTAAACCGAGGTACCACTGTAAAATAATTTAAATGAATTGGTTAGTAGGCTACACTACTATGTGTTAATAGTGAGAGCTTTGTGGCTTAGCTGGAAAGAAGAATTCTTCCTAGACCAGCTCGGACACATGAGTAGACAACAATGGATCAAGCATGCAGTGTTGACCGCGTGGTCACTGCATCCAGTACCCCAGCATGTTGGAACAGTGTGGTACCCTCTCACGTCGCCACAGTTGATCTGCCGAGATTTTACAATGTACTAATTGTTACAGATTACTGTATACACATTGTAATTACATTTGAGGTCATACCAAGTGGAATTGAAAGAAGCTTACTGGGTTTGTTTGTAGGGTATGGTTTGTAACCCGGTTGACATTTTAATGTTAAAGAGCTCTAGAACAAAAGATAATTTATACAACCGGGACACGTTCTCTCGTGTTTGGAGGATGAGGCAGTCCGCAGGGAGCCGGTCGGCCGAGCGGACAGCACGCTGGACTTGTGATCCTGTGGTCCTGGGTTCGATCCCAGGCGCCAGCGAGAAACAATGGGCAGAGTTTCTTTCACCCTATGTCCCTGTTACCTAGCAGTAAAATAGGTACCTGGGTGTTAGTCAGCTGTCACGGGCTGCTTCCTGGGGGTGGAGGCCTGGTCGAGGACCGGGCCGCGGGGACACTAAAAAAAAAAAAAGCCCCGAAGTCATCTCAAGATAACCTCAAGATGTGTGGTAATTTGTTCTAGGACACATCTCTGCTGCTGAACTTGTACCTCCGAGAGACACGCTTCTCTTGTTAGCACAAATATGGCATCAAAGCTAACCTTCTGTCCGCTGCGCAGCGTCCTGCCTCTTCCCTCACAGCTGATAGTAACCCCGCATCTTCTCGGTGCAAATTTACGTAGGAGAGGAGATAGATGCTAATTTATGAGTGATTTAGATGCTAATTTATGAGTGATTTTATTATCCTCAATTATTACGAACAGTGTTATACTGTTTCTGATGGCTTACCATGAAGAATTAAGTAATTTGGAAAGTATTATAATAAGATAGAAGTCTTAGTATGATCATTCCTCTTCCTCCATAAAACACTTATTCACGGTGGTTTTAAATTTTACTATAAAGAGGAAATCAGGTAATTTGATCTAGTTATTAATTAAACTCAATCTAAGATGGCAATCACAAATGAAATCAGATTGCAGATGGAGTTTTTGTCAAACTGTTGGATAAAAGAATAGTCACAGCGAACATGTGGTGGCTGACGCAATCATCCCTATGCATGTTCTGGAACTTCTGAACTCTCAATTATCAAATTATTAGTATGGATAGTAAAATTAGTGTCATAACACAACATATTTTACCTAATTGTGTCATGGGTTAGTATTTGGGGTGTTGGAAAATTCCGACAACAGGATTTCAATATTGTATGTTGAGACACATGTACCATTGGTGCATATCCTTATACTCTACAGTACTGTACTCTATTAAGTCACTTTGTACTGTGTACATTAACTATTTTCTAGGGTCATTAATTTATAGTATTTAATGAAATTGTATTGTAATCTGTTGACCAGACTGTAATCTATTTTTGGATATAAATATAATACTGTATTTTGTTGGTTAGCATATTCAAACAAGTCATTTTAACTTCCTTATTTTGTTTTCTGGGCTGGAAGGAGTAGGGATGGTGACAATATTATCTATAGAGTATATGTATATATTTATACATGCATATTTATTTCTTAGTATTTGGGGTTTATATGTACTTTACTAATGGGAATTTCTACATCACTTCTAGACATGGTAGTTTTAAATTTCAGAAACTAATAAAAATACTGTACTCTGATTTCTGGACTGGAATTTTATTTTTTAACTTATAAATTCAGAAAGTTTCAGCAGCTACATTCACAGGATAGGCTTATAATTTGTCCTCCCGGCTGCTACTTCTATGATTTTCTGATGCAACATTGTTAATCACGAAGAGCAACTTCTAGAGGTTTTTATATTTTACTGTCATATATAGTCTGTAAAGCAAAAATAAATAAATATAATGTAAATAAATTCCGTCACATAAGGATTATTCTATTCAATTTATTTTTTAATTATGCAAAGACCTCTGTCCAGGTCATTAATATTCAACCTGTTCCAGAAGATGACTATAATTTGATGCTTAATACTCAACAAAAATATATACTAGTCATTAAAACATTTATAATATTTGTTGTATTAACTTGCTACATCATGCAGAGATTTCCTCCAGGAACCAGAATCTGAACGGCACACAGGGTAAATATGTATTGTAGCTGTCCTTGTAACCCAGTCGAGCATGTGGTGGTGCTTACCGCAGGTGTAGTAGTGGTGCATGCTTGGCCTACTTATATTTGTGTGCAAGCTTTATTGATAATTGTTTTCTGTTCATTTAATACTTCACAGTGCACGTTTTGGTGAAGTTCAGTAGCACTGTTGTTGTTTACTTGTATATGCTTGTTTACTTGATTGGTGTTGCATCTTTTTACTTTTAAATATTAGTTGATAGTTGTGGTCGAGTCCTCCATTAATCACTATATTTTTCTGTAAATGTTAAAGATTTATTATTTAGTTCATGGCAGAGTAAGATTTCATATTTAACTCAGTTTTTTTGTGAACTCATTCTTAAAAGTGAATGTAAAAGATAGTAACTTAACCTGTCTTGTGTTTGACAAATTGTTGAATTTTTAATTATATTGAAAATAATAATAATTTTTTTTATATAACTACCTTGAATTGCCAGGATACAAGCTTTCATAAGTTTGCAGTCAAGGAAAGGTTAATTTTGGATGTAATCTAATGAATCATTCATATTTATAGCAGAGAATAATTTTTTTTCTTACAGCATTATAGAAGGAGACATGGTTACTCTCATTCACAACAGTTGCTACTGAACTCTATTTCTTTATATATTTTACTGAAGTTCTTGTAGTTTTGATATAAATCTCTTCTTTCTTTGTGGAACAAAATTACAAGATGTGATTGATTTGTTTACCTAAACAGATAGGATGATGTAACAATTGTATACTTAAATGATTTAGCTTTGATTACTAGATTTAAATTTTTGTTCAAGTGACAAGTTTTGTGTATTCCTCAAACCTTTTCTCAGAGAGGTGTCAAATTTTAATAAACTGTAAGATCAAAGAGTGTATTGAGATGTTTGGTCATAGTTAATAGTACCGATAGTGGTGAAAAAAATGATTAAAGTGAATTTGAGAGTATATAAAGACAGGAAGACCAAGAAGATGGACTGACACGTTATTAATGTAATATGTAATTTTTTTAACGAAATAGAACAATTTATTGTACAATAATTATTGTCGGATAATAATAATGCATAACTATGCACCAAATTACCAAAAAATAAAATACCAGTACTGTATATATAAATTTGTTCCCAAACCACTGGGCATTTCATATCTTCGAACACCAGTGCTACTTGGTTGGCCGAGTCAATGAGGTTATTGTTAATTCCAGTATTGTACAGTATTGCATTTTATACACTGTAATTGGTTTTTATTATCAAGATGTCTTGATGTAGCAACCACGGTGCTAAAGATAGTAAGAAAAGTGGAAATACATTTCTATTGGGCAGAAAATTAATAGGAGTGTTGCGAGTAAGTGTGACCAAGACGAGAACATCAGCTAATGATGGTGTGGGAAGAGGGAGAGGGGGAAGTCTCTCCATCAATACAGTTTGGTGAGAACATTCTTGATCATTTTTACATTTTTGGTTTTAACGAATATCATTTATATACAGTATATGCGTAATTTTTTTATCAGATTGTGCTTCAATCAGTGCTCTATTCTATGTGATGGTTGAAATGATGAATACATAATAAAGGAACTTTTAATTTTTATAATGAGATAGGCTGACAGTGAATGTGCAAGTCCTGGTCATTATATTAAACTATTACCAGCAAATAGTTTTGCATAGTTAAAATTGTTAATAGGGAACAGTCCACAAATAATTGCTTCATCATATGACAGATCAAAATAGTGCTTACAAAATAAATTATTTTTTTTTCTTTTGTGTTGGAGAGTGGTGAGTTATGATGTACTTGTACTTCAGTAAATATGATCCAGGGCTATTAACTAAATGTGCTCCAGGTTTATTATGAAAATACAGTATTTTACTTCACTACTCCAGGTGTCAAACCGAACAGAGGAGCCTCAATTAACGAATTTAATCCGTTCCAGCACTGAGCTCATCATGTGAAACGCTTGTCTTGCTAAATGAATTTTCCCATTTAAGATAATAGAAATAAAATTAATCCGTTCCACCACCAAAAAACATCAATATGATATTCAAATTTTATTTTTTTCATAGAAAATGCAGCAGCCTACCTGACATACACTAAACAAATCTTTTTGACATGTTCAAATTTTTTAATTTGTTTATATTTTTTATTTTTTTTATAGAAAATGCAACAGCCTACCTGACATGACCTGAACAAAACTTTGAAATTTTTTCTGTTTTCATTTTTTTCTTATTTTTTTTATGGAAAATGAAGCAGCCTACCTGACATACACTGAACAAGCCTTTTGACATTTTTCTTTTTTCAGTTTCTTTTTTCCTAGAAAAAAAATCAGTGCTTTGCAACATTACAGCAGTCATCCCTTTACATCCCAGCATCATTAGCATCTTTAAAAAAAAATAATTGATTCCCTCTGGCTTAACTTTTTGTCACTAGAACCCTGCTACATTACTGTTGTCTTCGGCTTCACTACACCACTGCCTTCTGGTTGTCTACACTTTTACATACAATTTGCTCTATTCCTTACCTTGCTGTTGCTGCTGCTTCTTTGAATATACTTTTTGAAGCAACCCTCTTTGTGGGTTGTCTCCTGAGGAAGGTCAGTAGTGGGTTAGGTTGACCTCGATTAGTTCAACAGGCTTCTTGTTCCCGACTATGGAAAACCATATGGTGAACCATTAACATGTGGAATTCTTTCTTTAGCAAATGTTTCAAGTGCTCCTTCAGATGTCTTAAGTCAACTGAGGTGATAGTAAATCTGTAAAGATTTTACATAAGGTCACCCCATCAAGGAAGGGGAGTTCCTAGATAAAAAAAAAAGTAGATCATTAAATTGAATACTTTACTATATATCTTAATTCAGGTTAAGCTTCCTATAGAGTAGTGTTATAAATAACACACAACTTCAAAATTCTCCCATGAGAATGAAATAAAATTTGCATGTGCATCATAATTAACTCAGGTGTTCCACATCCAATAAATTTATTACTTTAATTAAAATTCAGTCTTCTTATAATTATACTTTTTATATAATAATAATACTTTGGGAGCTCCCATACCTTGAGGAAATGATTTAGTATGCTATTATTTATCACATATTGTAGATGTGCTTTATATACTTAATCATATGTATTTGTGGTAATTCTTAATGTTTTAATATAGTATTTTATTAGTTATGTGATACAGTAGTCTTGCCTTAATCTCTTGGTGGTGGTGGCATAGCTTTATCTTCTTATCTCCTATATGCTTAGCCGGTGGACAGCAGCATGCTTCCTGTGTTCCGTTTCAGATTGTGTATGGTTCCACAATAGAAGATAGGGGCATGACACTCACTTACTGCCGTCAGGTATCAAAAGCTGAATACGAACGCCAGTGCCTGACAGGCTCCCAACAGTTCCTTGCACAACTACTTGATCAAATTATTGACAATGACAAAATATCTGCAAAGTCAAAAAAGAAGAAACTTAAAGACGTAAGTAATTTTTTCCCTTGTAAATTTTCATGAAGAGTATTTGAGTGCTATTTTTCTACTACTTTATGTCCATATGTTTTATGGTTTTATTAGTGTAAATACCTAAGTGTAGTTACAGGATGAGAGCTACGCTTGTGGTGTCCTGTCTTCCCAGCACCCTTTGTCATATAACGCTTTGAAACTGACGGTCTTGGCCTTCTCCAACTTCTTACCTAACTTGTTCCAACCGTCTACCACTCTGTGAAAGTGAATTTTCTTATTTCTTTGGCATCTGTGTTTAGCTGGTTTAAATATATGACCTCTTGTTCTTGAAGTTCCGGGTCTCAGGAAATCTTCCCTATCAATTTTATCAATTCCTGTTACTATTTTGTACACAGTGATCATATCACCTCTTTTTCTTCTATCTTCTAATTTTGGCATATTTAATGCCTCAAACCTCTCTTCATAGCTCTTGCCCTCCAGTTCTGGGAGCCACTTAGTAGCATGTCTTTGCACCTTCTCCAGTTTGTTGATGTGCTTCTTAAGATATGGGCACCACACAACCACTGCATATTCTAGCTTTGGCCTAACAAAAGTCGTGAACAATTTCTTTTGTATTTCGCCGTCCATGTATTTAAAAGCAATTCTGAAGTTAGAAAGCGTAGCATTGGTTCCTCGCACAATGTTCTTTATGTGGTCCTCAGGTGATCGTTTTCTATCTAGAACCACCCCTAGATCTCTTTCTTTATCAGAATTCTTTAAAGATTCCTCACATAATTTATAGGTTGTGTGGGGTCTCTGTTCTCCTATTCCACATTCCATAACATGGCATTTATTCAAATTAAATTACATTTGACAAGTGGTGCTCCATACAGTATACTTATTTTGTCTAGGTCTTCTTGAAGGGCATGACAATCATCTAAGTTTCTTATCCTTCCTATTATCTTTACATCATCAGCAAACATGCTCATATAATTCTGTATTCCATCTGGTAGATCATTTATGTAGACAATGAACATCACCGGTGCAAGAACTGAACCCTGTGGTACTCCACTTGTGACATTTCTCCAGTCTGATACATTGCCTCTGATCACTGCCCTCATTTTTCCAGCAGTCAGAAAATTTTTCATCCATGTTAGAAGCTTACCTGTCACCCCTCCAATATTTTCCAGTTTCCAGAACAACCTCTTATGTGGAACTTTGTCGAAAGCTTTTTTTAGGTCCAGATAGATGCAGTCAACCCAACCATCTCTTTCCTGTAAAATCTCTGTGGCTCGATCATAGAAACAGTAAATTCGATACACAGGATCTTCCTGATCAAAAACCATAATGTCTGTCTGATATTGTATCATTTCTCCAGGTGTTCTACCCATTTAGTTTTTATTATTTTTTCCAATATTTTGACTATTACTGTTGAAATAAACAGTAATATTAAAATGAACTGTCTGGTTCTCTGAAGATCTCATTTTGTACAAACACACCCTGGAACTTTTCGTTTAACGTTTCACACATTTCCTTTTCATTTTCCGTGTATCTGTTCCCCATTTTCAACCTCTGAATATTATCCTTTACCTGCAGCTTGCTTTTAATGAATTTATAGAAAAGGCCTGGATCTGATTTACATTTGTCTGTTATATCGTTCTCAAAGTTCCTCTCTGCCTCTCTTTTTACTAACGTGTAGTTGTTTCTTGCATCTTTGTATCGCTGGTATGTTTGGGGGTTTGGCCTCTTTATATAATGATTCCATGTAAAATATAAAGTATAAAGTATAGAGCATGCTTTTAACAAAATTTGTGACCCTATTATCTCTTAGATGTTTTCTCTTCCCCCCCCCCCCCCAAGTAAATATTCCATAATTTGTTGATACTACAACAAAAACAGTCATTTGTGTCCCTCCAGATATCTGATGGACTTTGTTCCACTTGAGTGGGACTCCACTTTATAGGGTACTTTCCATTAATAATGTATTTGCAAAATTGCCTTCTTGAAAGAAAAGCTGTTAATTATAGTACATATTGTAATATATTTGCTGTTTTTGTAAAACAGCTGACATCTGTCAACAATGTTTTGGCTTTTCTTTCCTTAGTTCAAGTCACTCTACCCTGATGTATACAAGGCAAAATTCCCAGAGGAGGACCATAAGCCTGAAACCCGTAGCAAAGTGCGAAGTTTGATCAAGTTGGCCTCTTTCTCTTCGCTGGGTAAGGGACGTTCATTGAGAATGTGAAAACCGTATAGAGAATTAACCAAAGATGGAAGTCTGCCAAGACCACCATTGGGATTATTAGTGCCATATTAGAGATGAGATTTTAACACTGGTGATGAATATTCTTGTAAGCCTCAATAATATCGATGTACATAAATTTATATCCTCTAAAGTAATTATTCATTTGAGGGGTTCAACTTGAGAAGTTTAAATGTGCTTGCATTTTATTTGAAGTGAACTTATAACTTTTTCAGTAGTGTGGTGCAATCTTTTACTTATAAGGAAAGAGCAATATCTGGACCTCAGGAATGTTTACAATTGGCACAAGGTTTTAAATGGTCTTTCACGTTTGTATATATTTTATATAAAATACAGTATGCTACAGTAATTTTTTATATAATATTTTCTAAATATTAAGCATTTGTGATATTGTTTTAATAGATTATTTATTTTTTGTTCATATTAAAAGCCTTCATTGGTCTACTATTTTATTAATTTTGTATTTCTTGTTTCTCTCGTAGAAAAATATTTGACTAATCTTGTATCAGTCATCAAATTATATGAATCATACAATAATATTGAATGATTTTATTGGCTGTTTTTCTATGTTTAGTCTTCTGATTTGTTATCTCTAAGATAGAAGTAATGAAAATAACGCTTTTCTGTCATATATGTACAGTATGTATGAATATGGTTATAAAAGAATGGTATTACTCACCACATTTATTTAAAGAAGTTTATGAATGTTCAGTATTATTTTGATTTATTCTTAGAAGGGATTTGATAGCATCTATTTTCAAAACATGCATATTATACGAGCATAGTATATGAGCACAATAATGTATATGTGCTTGAATTTGTGATTGTCAGTTTTAAATGGATGAAGTATAAGCAAATTCAACATTAGTTAAACATTAAACCCCATTAAAAAGGGCCGTGACCAAAATTAGTACAGTACATTATATGTTCTTGATTCCTTGACATAAACTTTTGACAAATGCCACATATGAATAATTATCATTGCTAATGATAATTTTCCTAAATGATGAATGAGTGCAGTGTATTTATGCTGTTGTGTATTAAAACAAATTTTATCAACTAAAATATCACTTTTGTATTCTTTTTTGTTTTATATAACCTTACTATCTCTAATTTTTATTCTAAAAGGGAAACACCTTATTACATGCTTTTGGAAATTGAGGTGAACACTGTAATTCATTCCTCTAGAACAGGGAGAAGGGTGTGTTTACACTTGGAAGCAAATATGTTTCTGGACTACATGACGTTGGTCGTATGATTGCTTTACCACTTACAATGGAAGACTTGCATCTGGAACACAAAGGACTGATCATGCGATGTGATTAAATGATATATACGTAATGTTATAAACTATTTCAGGTTTTCAGGAATATGTAAAAGTATTAACAGATGAAAATAATTTTGATTCAATGGAGTGACTTGAACTTGCAACCTGGTAATTCCAAGACAAATCACCCCATTGCCTCAAAATAATTTTCATTGATACATCACGCCATTGTGATTTCATTGCGATATTAACAGATCATTACCCATATATTAAAAATAATTTCCCATAGATTAACAAATCATTACCTTATGCTGCTTGTGTCTTTTGTCCCCATTGAATGTGCAGTTAGCAGGTTTTGCTTTTGTTAAATATATTTTAATTATATTTCTGGAATGATTTTTTTTTATCTCCTAATTAAAAATATATATTAATGTGCATAGAAAAGACGTTAATATTATATATTAGCATATTGTGCATATTTAGGCACTGGTTAGTTTAGGTTCTGTTGGCGATTATTTGTATTTGTAGTACGTGAGTGAAGCATTTACAGCGTTGTAGTTCGAACAAAAGTCGATAGCGAAGCACTTGTTCAGGAAGTGTTTAGACGTCATCAGTTGAGTCGTGTGTAAACCGTTTTTCATTCATAAACGGGGTTTGGCTGGTGCCTGGAATCACTTTTGGGTCTTTGGAGGACGTGCTTGTATTTGTAGTACATGGGTGAAGCACTTATAGAGTAGCGATTCGAACAGATTTTTTTTTTAATTGAGGTTTTTACCAAATATTAAAGTTGGCTGCTGGATGGAATGGACATAGCTTGAAAACAGGTAGTCATAAACGGGGTTTGGCAACCGCATTGAGTGAGTATTTGGCATTTCTTGGCGAGGACGAGCTGTATTGTTCACAACATACTCTTACCAGTAGCAGTGAGGGTTTCCATCAGTAGAGGCTAGTTTATTCTTCACATTATACACATCCTGCTGAGTGGCAGTGAGTATTGCCAACTTATGCTAATGACACTACACACAGAATGCTAATGAATCGCTACGTCGTCATAGTACTACAGTTGTCCTACATATACTAGTCGCTTCTCACTGCAATCAGGTAACGGCAATGGACCTCATTCAGACACTATCACATCCTGATGCATGATGTCACAAATAATTTGCTATAATGCCTCGTTTTTCATGGATTATTGACAAATTTGTTCTTCCTCCAGCATTTATATCCATAAGTCGTGCTTCCATCCTCCGAGAGGTTTTATGAGGACAGATAAACAGTGTTGATCTCTGTTAAAATGAAAATCGTGAAAATATCACCAGTTTCTGTCACATGCGTCTTGCGGAGCTACATTTATTCAGAAAATTTAAATTGATAAGCATTATCCAGCGATATGTTACACGCAAGAACTAGATAATTCTTTTAATATATTTTAGTCACCCAGTAGGCAACTTTATCATTAAAAGCCAGAATTAAGTGAAATATCAAGATGTGTACCAGTAGAGTATATCAAAATGTGTACCAGTGGAGTACATCAAGATGTATACCAGTTGAGTATATCAAAATGTGTACCAGTGGAGTACATCAAGATGTATACCAGTGGAGTTCATCATGATGTGTGCCAGTGGAGCTCATCATGATGCGTACCAGTCGAGTACATCAAGATGTGTACCAGTCGAGTACATCAAGATGTGTACCAGTCGAGTATGCAGACAATGAGTCACAATAACGTGGCTGAAGATAAGATTAAACCACATACAAGAAAATGAGGAAACGACGACGTTTCGGTCCGTCCTGGACCATTATCAAGTCGATTGCCTTAGCACAATCGACTTTATAATGGTCCTGGACGAACCGAAACGTCGTCGTCTCGTTATCTTCTGATGTATGGTTTAGTCTTCATACCAGTGTAGTACATCGGGATGTGCACCAGTGGAGTATCTCGGTATGTGCACAGGTCGAGTATAGGGATGGTATGAGTATATAAGGATGGATACCAATGATGTATATAGGGATGTGTGGAAGGTCACCGTTAACCACAAAAACTTCTCAAACTGCAACATTATGGACTTGGGAGTCACTCCACCAGTACTTTCGATCTTACCTAAGTGACGTGCACCAATAGATTTCTGTGATCGATGCTACTTCTCTCATTCTGCATTGGCGTTCCACAGCGTAGTATGCTTGGTCCATCCCTCTTTCTCATTTACATCAATGCCTTACTAAACGCCATTCAGCACCTAATGCCAATTCTATTTGCTAATGACACACCCATCATTTTCTCAAATGAAAATTTACTCGCTCTAAATTACATTGTGAATTCTGAACCAAAAAAAAAAAAAAGTTTGTAGCTAAAGTTCAAGTACGTTTATTCAGACAATGAAATACATCTCAAAGGAATAGAGTAGCTTAGGATATTTCTACCAACAAACTCAACCTTAACATTAAACAAATGTTACATACTATTTGGAAATAAGTCCACCAATCAAATTAAACTAAGCATTAATAACACCCAAATTGAGAACAGAATAGTTGGGAAATTTCTTGGTGTTCACATTGACAACAAACTGAATTGCAGATGCCATATGCGAAATAGAAAATAAATTACATGTTCTCTCAAATCCGACACTACGTAACTCGCTCTGCCTTGGTAACAATATATTATCACCCGTCTATCCATAATTTCAATTTCAATTCAATCCATATTTTACCTGTGGTATCTGTGACAGGGGTTCTACAACCCAAATTTCACTTCGACCCTTAATTATTCATCATAAATCAACAATTATTATTATTATTATTAATTTTATAAGAGTCATGGGGTGGAAGTCATGCTACCTGCTTCGTAACAAAGGCCAAAGTCAGGCGAAAGATGCAAATCAATTCCATGTAGCATGTGTTTCCTCTGTTGCGGGCCTGCTCTGTTTAAGTAAATAAACCTTACTGAGGACGGGATGCCCTGTTTATAATAAACCTTAATGAAGACGGGCTGTGTTTCATGTTTCATAAGACTAAAGGTTTCGGGTTGATTCCGAAATGATCGAATGAAGAACGGTTCATGGACAACAACTTTATTTATCCTGAATAATAAAAATATTAGCTTCTGATATTTTAATAGCAAATATATTAAAGAAGTTCTATTGTATGTTATGGCTCTTTGAATAGAAACAGCGCAAAAATTGGTGAATTACATAAAGAAGGATGAGGCTGTTATGCTCCCGGACACCGGGAGGTAAACAAACACTCAGAGAATGGCCCATTGAGCAGTGGGCGGTGACAGTGATTCTGTAGTGATTGATCCAATAGTGAAAGTGACCGTGATTCTATAGTGAGTGACCGAGATTCTAGTGAAAGTGACCGTGATTCTATAGTGAGTGACCGTGATTCTATAGTGAGTGACCGAGATTCTAGTGAAAGTGACCGTGATTCTATAGTGAGTGACCGAGATTCTATAGTGACAGTTACCGAGATTCTATAGTGAAAGGGAAGGGAACTATCAGGAGAAAGCGCCATGCCATTACGACTATATAGCCCTTGGAAGGGATCAGGATGAGGATTTAGGATGGGACGGGGGAAGGAATGGTGCCCAACCACTTGGATGGTCGGGGATTGAACGCCGACCTGCATGAAGCAAGACACTCTACCGTTCAGCCCAAGTGGAGAGTGAAAGTGACTGTGATTCTATAGTGAAGGTGAGTGTCTCTTAAGATTCTTCTAACGTTGTTACGTGAAGGGGGTTCATCTATTATTGCTAGTAGAGCCAAAGGCATCCAATGTTTTGTTATAACAAAGCCTGCCACAACTATAATGAAAAACTGTGAAACAGTCTACCCACTAAAACCATACAGAAACAGTGCTTAATCTTAAAATATATGATAAACAAAGTCAGCTTGGGTGACCCTTCACGAGCCACGAATTGACTGCCCTCCGACAGGTTAACCAGAGACGTTAACTGTTTTGGTTAACATAGAACTGTCTAAAAAAATTTCATAGACGTAAAACTTATTTGCACCAGAACTCATATATTAACAAAATATTTGGTTACCCACTCTTACACAAAATCGTATGACAAAGGGATTTCATTGTGCATATAGCCTACAAGCATTCCATACTCTATAGAATAAAAATATATATGAAAACTCAAGGTTTCTGAGGAACTCGTATACACATTTCCGCCTAAATTGGTATTTTATTGTAGCAAGTTACTCTTGGTGGGAATCGAGAAACGCTGCATAGTAGTCAAAACCACGACTCAAACCCTATAAAGCAGCAAATACTTTCACAATAGGCACAGTAACCAAGCAAAACTGTATACTTACTTAAAGCGCTCATCTCCAGCAAACAGAAGTTAATAATCCACGTTATGACGCACAGTCACTTAATTAAGTACTCTGATTTAAGTTGTTAAATTAGTTCAATATTATCAGACTAGTTCAATATTATAAATGTCCACAGTCCTGCCGTACCTTAAATATTGTCCCTCCCCATTCTCATGCTTCAAACTTCAACCAATTCTTATAATTAGACAAATGCTCTTTAATCCTCTAATATTTGGTTAGGGTAAAGTTAGCATCATTACCGTATTAACCACAATTCAAGTGTAAATAAAGGTAACAACCGAGAGCAATGAATTTTATGTCGTCTTATAAGTCAATCCCATAATACGAGTTGTTAGGTTTTGCCTCCGCTTATCTTAGTATTGTTACTGGTAAATGATCAGGTAAGCCAGTAAAACATTTTTTGTTTATTTCTTCATTTAAATGTTTATTGTTGTTGATTTAGACGCCATGACGGCAGTACGTGGTGCTGTATGT